CAAGAAAGAGAAAAATGACTGCTACTGCTAAACCCAGGACAAGGAGGAAAGACAGACGTGGCCTGTCATGACCTTGGAGCCCTTTGCAGAGGAAAGCAGGCAGTGTACGGCTGCTGAAAACATCCAGTCATCAGCATCCTCAGAACATCCTTGAGCTTCTAGTTCCTCAGGCTGTAGATGAGGGGGTTCACTGCTGGAGGCACCACGGAGTACAGCACTGACACCACCAGATCTAGGGATGGGGAGGAGTTGGAGGGGTGCTTCAGGTAGGCAAATGTGCCGTTTCTGACAAAGAGGGAGACCCTGGCCAGCTGAGGGAGGCACATGGAAAAGGCTTTGTGGCATCCCTGCTCAGAGGGGATCCTCAGCATGGCCCTGAAGATCTGCACATAGTACCCCACAGCAAAAACAAAACACCCACGTGCTATAGAGGTACCAACCACAAGAAGGCCGGCTTTTCTGAGATACGAGTCTGAGCAGGAGAGCTTGAGGATCTGGGAGAATTCACAGAAGAACTGCTCCACAGCATTGCCTTGGCAGAAAGGTAAAGAGAAGGTATTAGCTGTTTGCAGCCCAGCATAGAGAAACCCACTGCCCCATGCAGCTGCTGCTATGTGGACACAAGCTCTGCTGCCCTGAAGGGTCCTGTAGTGCAGGGATTTGCAGATGGCCACGTAGTGGTCATAGGACACGACACTGAGAAGAGAAAATTCTGCTGAAATAAAAAAGACAAACAGAAAGACCTGTGCAGCACATCCCAGGTAGAAGATGGCCCTGGTGTTCTGGAGGGAATTGGCCATGGATTTAGGGACAATGGTAGAGGTGGAGCTCGGGTCCAGGAGGGGGGGCCTGAGGAGGACGAAATAGATGGGGGTGTGGAGGTGCTGGTCGCAGGCTGTGCTGGTGATGATGAGGCCGTTGCTGCCAGGAGCACAGCCAGGGATATGCCCAGGAAGAGCCAGAAGTGCCAGAGCTGAAGCTCCCGCTTGTCTGCGAATGGCAGGAGGAGGAGCTGGGTGATGGAGCTGCTGTTGGACATCTACTGCCTCTGGGCATGGGGCGCTGTCATAGGAGAAAAAGGCAGTGACAGGTTAGGACAGGAGGGATGTCAGATAGAGAAGTTCAATTTACACACGACTCCGAACCCTTTTGGGCTGTAGAGGAGAGGCTCAGTGTGACTTGGTCATGATTGTCTCTGAGGTCGGTTGGTTTGTTTGTTTCCCAGTGTCAGGTCTGACAAGTGATTTTTTTTAGAAATAAAACCTTGAATGTTTCGCAGGCAACTGTGAAGAGTCTCAGCGTGGGACAGGCAAAGGGCTCAGCTCTCTGTGGGTTAGTGCCTACTCAAGGTTGCTGCAGAGTCCAACAGTCTGGTTCTCAGCTGCCCTGCACTTTCTAGAGAGACAGTCAGCTCCTTGCCCAGCAGAGCATGGGCAGCAGCCACCTCCAGTGCCAGACCCCAAGAGAGCTGCCTGAACACACCCTCCCCAGGCCTGGGCTGCACTTTCCCCCTCCCTCCCTGCCCATGGCTCTGCTGCCTGGAGCTGTCCCTCTCAGGAGCTGCTGCTCCGTGCCCAGCTCTGCTCCCTCTCAGTGCTCCCAGAGCCCATCCCATGGGCTGTGTGCTCAGCTCTGCCCTGCACACCCCTCTGGGCAGCACGGCTCTGCCAAGGGGCATCTGCCTGTGCAGGGGCTTAAAGATTTTAAAAACCTAATGCAGTTAGAACTGCTAGGTCAAATGTGGTTTGGTGAGCAACAAGTGTTCTCAAGCCCCAGTAAGGGCACTGACGTGACAGATTACTTACTGGCACGTCTTTCTTGAAGCTCACTCCAGTTGGTCGGGTGATTGTAATGGTTTTTGCAACAGTGGTGGTGGTTGAGGTGGTAACTATAGTGCTGACTTGGCCAGCAAGAGGAGCTTTTGCTGGAACTTGGGCCTGGGCCTGAGCCTGGGCAAGTGCAATACTTCCAGGGGTGGTGATTGAACCCTGCATCTTCACAGGAGGATCTCTGGATTGCTGTCCATATTCTATGTACTGAAAAAGAATGAACAAGCACATACAAAATTTCACATGCAGCTACAGAACAACAGGCTCAGTTTTAGCATGAGTAATATAAAGGTTTGCCAACAGTCTTTAAAATACTTGATACTAATGCCATTAAGGGAATCTGCAAACTAGAAGTTTAGCCTTATAAAGCAGATCTTTTCACTATTAACATACTTTCTCACTGGAGAGGAGCCTCAAGCTCTTCCTCTGACCTCAACAGGTTGACATCAAACACCAAGAGACTTGACATCCTTAAAATTCTACAAAGCACTACTCAAAAAACCCCACCTCTGCAGGCATCGGACAGCAGAGCAAAAGAAGGGAAGAGCCTAGGAGAAATGTTTGAGTACCAAGAAGTTCGCACAGGTTGCCCAGAGAAGCTGTGGCTGCCCCATCCCTGGCAGTGTTCAGGGCCAGGCTGGACAGGGCTTGAAGCAACTTGGTCTAGTGGAAGGTGTTCCTGCCCATGGTAGAGGGCTGAAACTGGATAAGCTTTAAGGTCCCTTCCAGCCCAAACCATTCTATGATTCCATACAGCTATGCAGCAAAGTAGATACGAAGTCTTCCCCAAGGACTTCTACAGACACTTACACATGGTAAAGTCTGAAGTTCACAATTCGTAAGCAAACCATAGTTCTGAAATGGCCAACTTTCAAATTTTACATCTTCCACAGTAGAAAATTAGTTTCTTCCTCATTGTAATACATGTACCCAGGAATTGGTAACATCAAACAGGTTTGCTAACAGGTTTCCACCCGTATCTCTGAGATGACCTCTCTACCTTCATGTTTGAGCTGACCTTTTTCCTTAGATCATGCTCTCAAGCTCTGCCACTGGGATTAGCTTTTCTGTATTTCTATCAATGAAAGCAACTCTGAGTCAGATACTGTGACCAACATTGCTGTGGACTACAGGGTATTCCAATTACTCTGATCAGGCCTTCAGGAATGAAATTTTTCTTACTTTTCCTCATCTTTATGTGGATTATTTCAGCAGATCTGAGTATGACATTAAAAACGTAGCTGAATGCCCTCTATTTTAGAGGAAAATTCAAAATCCTTGAGGGACTGGACTATGAATTCACTGAAGCACCTGAAAACCTCTATGAACAGGTACGTGCATATTGATCATGCAGTTATAGTCAGGCTGCTATTTCTAAATAAGCAACCCAAACATATTTATGGAAACAAAAAAGGTATCATATAACCACCTTCACCTGCCCAACCTATCCCACAGCAAAACCTTTAAGGAAAACATATTTAATTCTGTGGATGCAGACTGCCTAAAATTGTGACAAGTGAGATTATGTTTCCAAAGGAAAACAGGAATTTGCTCAAAAGAATTTAAAATCATAGAAAGCCAGTGTGCTGACACAAACACTCACCTCCTGTAAGTGATGCGGGAACTGTATAAAGTGACTAATAGAAGCCAAGTGCTGACAATACTGGGGATAGTCCTTTAACCTATCAAACAAAACATCCCTCAGTCAGAAGCATAAACCCTGGTCAGGAACAATATTAAAGAGAAATACAAATGTAACACTGGTGTCTCATTCCTATGCTGCATCACAGAATTAATCTGGATTCCTCACGGCAGCTGTGCTACAGACAAAGCATCTTCTACAAAGTACTTTTTGTTGAAAAACCTATTTGAAATGATTTAACAGCAAAACACAAGGTTTATTCACAGAAATTCACCCTACATCTCTGTGCTTCTGACTGAGCACATAATTGCATTTATATTCAGTTTTTGCAGTAAGATTGTTGGGTAAGTCATTTGTAGTCTGCCTCAGTGTGTTTTAAACAGCAATCCAGAGTACCCCTAGCACCTGAGACAGAAGCTTCGCCTATTATTATAGTTCCACTTGTGAATGCTAGCTGCTGCTACTACTCACTGAGAGTGAAATCTTTGTGTCATGCTTAAAATGGTTTTTCAGAAAAGAATATGGCTATGTCTCAAGTATGACAGCCTTAAGAATCTCTACTCATTCTGCTCAGCTAACTCCACAACACAATATCCATCCACAACTGCTGCAAGCAACAGCTTTTATTACAGATTAAATACTCCAGGGCAGATGAACAGGAGAACTGGGATAGAAGATAACATGCTCCTTGCTTATTAGTCCACACATTTATTCTTATAACTAATTCCAGGAAGCTTTCTAATGCTTTTCAAGTTCAAGTATCTTCTTCCAGAATGGAGATTTTTCCTCATGGGTATACAATCCTGCCTACTACAGCTGCCTGCCTTGAGAGATTCCTCTCTTTTATTGGTAAAAGCTTTGAGAAAGCTTTAAATTTTGAGATACTTTTGGGCATACTTGACATTTCTATGTTAAACCAAAGTCCTAGAGCTAGTTCCTAGACAGCTTTCAGTAATGAATAGTGAAAACAGCACTTCATTAGAATGTATCTGTAAGGAGGAATTACATTCACCCCGCTTCTAACAAGCTGACAACTTCATCTAACTCAACACTTCACTCAATTAGTTTTCTCAACAAGCTCACTACATAGTTTCAACATCTCACTTTACCCTGCATTTATACAAGTACCACACTGAAAATTTTGGTTTTTAAAAGTTACCCTTTAACTAGTACACTAGCACATTTTGCTTCAGTACAGCATATCTTTAAAGTAGTCCTGAAGCTGAAATGTGTAAATTTTTAGCACATATAAGCACTCTTGTACTGCATAATTAGAGCAGGTTCAATGTGTAACAGTACATGTAATGCCCTGGTAAAATATTAATCAAACCCCACACTTACCTATTTTTAAATCTATCTAGTGCAGCAATACCAAAATAGTACATTTTGGATGCAAAAGGCTTTCGTAAGGCTTCAAGAACATAGCGCAGGGCCAGGCCCAATGCCATATAAGTAACCAGTCCTTTCTCTATGATACCACCAAAGAGGCAGGCTGTTATGTGCAGCTCTTTATCTGGGTACTGGGGAAAGAAACGGTATTCCTCAAACAAGTTCCTCAGCATACAGTTAAACACTTCTCGTTCTCGTTTAATGTTGGAGTCCTTAAACCTCTGCAGCATTTCCAAGACCTGCAAGGAAATGGGAAATTGTTACCAACAGATCTGCTTCATTTCAGCTCTTCTGCTTCTTCAGGTTTCAAGAGAGATTGTACCTGTTAAAGTAAACTGCAAGACCACATACTCGACTGCAAAACATCTGCTTCAAAAACGGTCATGTTAGCCTGCAGACACTACACTGATACAATAAGCCTTCTCTCCAGGCTTCAGTTATCTCTCATTTCTTTTCAGTAACTGTCTTCACATAAAACTTATGTGGCTACTCCACTGCTTCAAAATTAGCAAAATGAAAATTAATGTTCAGTGGTTCCATAATTCACAGCCACACAAATATATTCAAATAAAGTTGAAGTACTTAGAAGAGTGAGTACATGAGACTGACAATTACTCTCACTGAGACTAACCAAAGTAATTATCAAAGCTCTGAAGGTAGAGCTTCAGGCACCTTTGTATATTTGGATGTTGTAGTCGTTTTTTCGATACTTTAAAAACAAATATATTCAAGATAAGTGTAACTTATAGAGATTGCTTAAAGGCACACTTTAACAGTTATTTTGAACACACAAGCTTCCACTCCAGGTTAAATTCTTCGCACTCAGCATCATTTCAGGCGTGTTAATTGGACACCTAAAAGTCAAAGCTGAATGTAGCAACCAAGTGCAAGTTTACTGTAAAATCATCCTATCTTAGAAATATACAACTTCAACCAAGCAAAAAAAGCAATGATGCAATCATCTACTAAAAGCCCTTTATTATTTTCCACTAAGACTAATACAAGAAGGAATAACTACAATGAAGTTTATAGCAAGTCACTAGACAAGTGATGCAAATGCTACTGAAGGAAACTCACCTCATCTACGGACATGGTTGGATGTGGTGGATGGTTGTAAATACGCTGGAAGTAGCTGTTTGCCTCATCATCTATTTCTTTGCTAAAGTGCTGATTAGCCTCTGGCCACACCTGAGATAAGTCAGCTGTTAAAAAAGGGAACAGGTATAATGCTCAGAACAACTTGAGGTAGCCAGGACCTCATGTAATCCTATTCAATTCTTCAACCGATCTATACAGAACCTGCTGGTTTTCTTGAAAAGCAGGATATTTAACCTTTCCAGTAGTCAGGAACTGTTATTTAAAAATATATATACAATATGTAGTATTTATGCAAAAGAACTGTATTCTAAGATAGCATTAACCTCCTACTGATGCATGCCTAGAATCCACTCCATCCCAAACTAACCTCAGCTGATGCCTGAACTAGATGAATGCAAACAGACTTAAGCATGCTACACAACACTAGCGAGCAGACAAACTTCCACACAAACTTTCAGGCCAGTCAGTGAGTGAGCTTTGAGCAAGTGTCCTGGGTTCAGCAGTAGCAGTCATTTTTCTCCTTCTCAGTAGCTGGTGCAGTGCTGTGGTTTTGACTTTCAGTCTGGGAACAGCGCTGATAACACCGATGTTTTTAGTTGGTGCTGAGCAATGTTTACTCTCACGAAGGTCTTTCTGAGCCTCATGCTCTGCCAGGGAGGAGAGGAAGCCAGAAGGAAGCAGAGACAAGACACCTGACCCAAACTAGCCAAAGAGGTATTCCATACCACAGCACGTCATGCCCAGTGTATAAACTGGGGCAGTTACCTGGGAGGGCTAGATCACTGCTCGGGTCGGGCTGGGTACTTGTCAGCAGCTGGTGAGCGCTTGTACTCTCTTCCCTTGTTATTTCCCTTCATTATTATTGGCAGTAGCAGCAGTGGTTTGTGTTATACCTTAGTTACTGGACTGTTCTTATCTCAACCCATGGGAGTTACATTCTTTCGATTCTCCTCCCCATCCCGCTAGGAGCCGGGGGAGAATGGGGGGAGTGAAAGAGCGGCTGCGTGGTTCTGATTTAGTGGCTGGGCTTACACCACTACAGTTCTTTTTGGCGTCCAGCGTGGGCCATGAAGGGTTGAGATAACGACAGATCTGACCAGAGTGTGTCTAATCGTATGTGTGATAAGCATTTATTGTTTTGGATTAATAGTCACTCGTCACAATGCTGATTCATTGTCTCTCAAAGTTGTTGCTCTTGATCTCACAGTGCCAGCATGTCATACCTTACTTAGAGCTGGTATTTGCTGTGTTAGTGTTTATTGGCTGGGAGTGCTTGGGCTAAGGTTCTTGTTTCATTGTACTTTATGGTAATAACTTGTAATACAATAGACTCATTGATCATGAAACTGATCTGGCTTGCGCTCCCAGTGTGGTCCTCACCTCTGTACTTTGGAGGTATATAATGAAGTGTTGAGCAATTACACATCTTTTTTTTCCCTCCTTGGGTGATCAACCTATGAAGGAGACGTTCCCTTACACCCCCAGGTCCCCCATCAGACTATTTACAGCATTACTTGAGTTCTGAACGTTTTGAATGGTCTTTGGGTACGCTTGAGACCTGCCTGCTGACTGTGATGGGGATCACCATGTTGGCATGTGTTTTACTGATGACCATGTCATCTGATCTCGAAAGCTAAGCAGTCAGGTTTGGGTCTTGTCTAGGGTTAAATGATGATACAGGAGGACCAAAAAATTTTCCCTGAGGCTGGACAGCTATGAGTGGCAGGGTGTGTGGGATAGTATGGGCAAGTACCTAGGCCAGTGGACCCCTCCAGTGCTTTGGAACTTCACCACTGAATAAGTGCAAAATCCAGGAAAATTAGTAAAAACGCTTAAATGAGGTGTGTTGCCATCCTGGTCATACCAGAGATGGACAAATCATGGCAATGTGCTGGAGCTTGGCCTATGCTTGCAGAGCCCTGTTCAACACTATCCAGCACCTCCAAAGGGAAAAAGATGCCTCTGGATCTGAGGGCAAAGCAACAGACAATGCAGCAGACAAAGACCAGCCCCAGCAACAAGTACAGCAGCTACTCAAACTGACAACAGACAACGCAGCTACTCCAAGTACAGCAGCTACACCAATCCCAGTGACAAATACAGCAGCTACTCACACTCTGACTACAACAGGCAATGGGAGCTACTCCAAGTACAGCAACTACACCAATCCTAGCAACAAGTACAGCAGCTACTCAAACCCCAACACCAACAGACAACTCAGCCGCTGTGCTACTCAACCCCCAAGCACAGTGGCTGCACCAACTCCAACAACAGATACCACACCCACTCCAACTACAGCGATAATCACTGCATCTAAACCAAAGCACCAGTTCGTACCAGTATCAGTTGCCTCTCTAAGCAAGGGGAAAAGCAAGAGGCACAAAAAGCAACCCGTACAGTGAAGAAAGATGAAGAACCAATGCACTTACTACATGGGACAGCATCTGAACAAGGGTTATCATTATATGGATAAGAGGAACAAGAGCTTCAGTCTCTGATAAGCAGGTTCCCAGATGGAGTGGAAGAGCTGATTTTTCTCCAGCTCCTGGGATAAAGAAGACTAATCCCTTCCTACAAGATGTAAGCAACCAACATCAATCAATCTGACAGATGGACCATTCGGTGGATAAGGAACTGGCTGGACAGCCACAAGCAAAGAGTTGTGGTCAATGGCTCAATGTCCAGTTGGAGACCAGTAATGAGTGGTATCTGTCAGGGATCGGTGTTGGGACTGGTCTTGTTCAACATCTTTCTCAGTGACATGGACAGTGGGATTGAGTGCGCCCTCAGCAAGTTTGCCGATGACACCAAGCTGTGTGGTTCGGTTGATCCGCTGGAGGGAAGGAATGCCATCCAGAGGGACCTTGACACGCTGGTGAGGTGGGCTGATGCCAACCTCATGAAGTTTAACCATGACAAGTGCAAGGTCCTACACCTGGGTCGGAGCAATCCCAGGCACAGCTACAGGCTGGGCAGAGAAGAGATTCAGAGCAGCCCTGCGGAGAAGGACTTGGGGGTGCTGGTCAATGAGGAAACGAACATGAGCCGGCTTCAGTGTGCGCTTGCAGCCCAGAAAGCAACCGTATCCTGGGTTGCATCAAAAGAAGCGTGACCAGCAGGTTGAAGGAGGTGATCCTGCCCCTTTACTCTGCTCGTGAGACCTCACTTGGAGTATTGTGTACAGTTCTGGTGTCCTCAACATAAAAAGGACATGGAACTGTTGGAGCAAGCCCAGGAGGGCCACGAGGATGATCAGGGGCTGGAGCACCTCCTGTATAAAGATAGGCTGAGAAAGTTGGGGCTGTTCAGCCTGGAGTAGAGTAGGCTGCATGAAGACCTGATAGCAGCCTTCCAGTATCTGAAGGGGGCCTATAGGAATGCTGGGGAGGCACTCTCATTAAGGACTGTAGTGACAGGACAAGGGGCAAGGGGTTAAAACCTAAACAGGGGAAGTTTACATTGAATATAAGGAAGAAATTCTTTACTGTAAGGGTAGTGAGGCACTGAAATGGCTTGCCCAGGGAAGTTGCGAATGCTCCATCCCTGGCAGTGTTCAAGGCCAGGCTGGACAGAGCCTTGGGTGACACGGTTTAGTGTGAGGTGTCTCTACTCATGTCAGGGGGCCTGGAATAAGATGTTCTTAAGATCCTTTCCAACCCTGACTATTCTATGACTCTATGATTCTATGAACATTGCGATCACAATTAGAGGGGCCCTCCCTCCAGCCAGGTGGAGGTAAGGGACAAGTGGATTTACTGGACTGTGTGGATCAGACGGCCTGGCACACAAGTCCCACAGAAGTATAAGGCTCTAGTAAACACCGGTGCACACTGTACCCTGATGCTACCAAGCTGTCAAAGGGTGGAACCCATTTATATTTCTGGAGTGACAGGAGGATAACAGGAGTTGACTGTACCGGAGGCTGAAATCAGCCTGACTGGGAGGAAGGAGCAAAAGCACCCCACTGTGACTGGTCCAGAGGCTCCACGCACCCTTCTCATAGACTATCTCAGGAGAGGGTACTTCAAAGACCCAAATAGGTACCAATGGGCTTTTGGTATTGCTGCTTTGGAGACTGAGGAAATTGAGCAGCTGTCCACCTTGCCTGGTCTCTCAGGATCCTTCTGTTGTGGGGTTCCTGAAGGTTGAAGCACAACAAGTGCGAATCCCAATCACAACAGCGGCAATACTGCAGCAACCAAAACTCCCTGATTCCCACCCATAAGTTGATCCGTAGACTGGAGAGCTAAGAAGTGATCAGCAGGACCCACTCACCCTTTAATAGCCCCATATGGCCAGTGCGAAAGTCTAACAGAGAGTGGAGACTAACAATAGACTATCGTGGCCTGAATGAAGTCACACCACCATTGAGTGCTAACATACCGAACATGCTAGAACTTCAGTATGAACTGAAGTCAAAAGCAGCGAAGTGGTATGCCACAACTGATATTGCCAATGCATTTTTCTCAATTCCTCTGGCAGCAGAGTGCAGGCCACAGTTTGCTTTTACTCGGAGGGGCGTCCAGTACACTTGGAACCGACTGTCCTGGGGTGGAAACACAGCTCTGCCATCTGCCCTGGACTGACTCAGACTGCACTGGAACAGAGGCAAGCTCCAAAACACCTGCAACACACTGATGACATTATCATGTGGGGCGATACAGTGGAAAAACTTTTAGAGAAAGGGAGGAAAATAATCCACATCCTGCTAAAAGCCTTTTTTGCCATAAAACAGAGTAAGGCCAAGGGATGTGCAGAGGAGATTCAATTTTGGGGAATAAAATGGCAAGAAGGATGTTGCCAGATCCCCACAGATGCGATCAACAAGATAACAGCAATGTCTCCACCAACTAATAAGAAAGAAACACAAGCTTTCTTGGGTTCTGTGTGGTTCTGGAGAATACACATCCCAAATTATGGTTTGATTGTAAAACCTCTCTACCATCTGACCCAGAAGAAGAATGATTTTAAACGGGGCAACAACAAGCCTTTGAGCAAACTAAATGAGAGATAGTTCATGCAGTAGCCCTCGGACCAGTTCGGACCAGGCCTGATGTAACCCCAGCCAGGGAGAATGGTCCTGCCTGGAGCCACTGGCAGAAAGCTCCAGGGGAGACCCAAGGTCAATCCCTCAGCTTTTGAAGTCAGGGATACAGAGGATCTGCGGTCAGGTATACCCCAACTGAAAAAGATGCTGGCAGCATATGAAGAGGTTTGAGCTGCTTCAGAAGTGACTGGAACTGAAGCACAGCTCCTCCTGGCATTCCAGTTGCCTGTGCTGGGCTGGATATTCAAAGGCAGGGTCTCCTCTACACATCACGCAACCAATGCTACATGGAATAAGCAGGCTGCACTAATTACACAAGCTCAAATAGGAAATCCCAGTTGTCCAGGAACTGCAGAAGTCATCATGGACCGGCCAAAGGGGAAAGACTGGGGAATGTCACCAGAAGAAGAAGTGACATGTGCTGAAGAGACCCCACCATATAATAAACTATCATAAAGTGAAAAACAATATGCCTCATTTAGTGATGGGTCCTGGCGTATTGTGGGAAAGCATCAGAGATGAAAGGCAGCTGTATGGAGTCCCCAGTGACAAGCTGCAGAAACTGCTGAATGATAGGGTGAATCGAGTCAGTTTGCTGAGGTGAAAGCCATCCAGCTGCCCTTGGACATTGCTGAACAAGAAAACTGGCCAGCACTTTATACTGACTCATGAATGGTGGCAAATGCCCTGTAGATGTGGTTGCAGCAATGGAAACAGAGCAACTGGCAACATAGAGGTAAACCCATTTGGGCTGCTACACTGCGGCAAGATATCGCTGCCCAGGTGCAGAACCTGGTGGTGAAGGTACGTCATGTAGATGCCCATGTACCCAAGAGTCGGGCCACTGAGGAACACCAGAACAACCAAGTGAATAAAGCTGCTAAGATTGAAGCGGCTTATATGGACTTAGATTGGCAACATAAGGGTGAATTATTTTTGGCCTGGTGGGCCCATGACACTTTAGGCCGTTAGGGCAGAGATGCAACATACAGACGGGCTCATGATCAAGGGGTGGACTTAACAATGGACACTATTGCCCAGGTTATTCATGAGCGTGAAACAGCTGCTGCAATTAGGCAAGTCAAGCGGTTAAGGCCTCTTTGGTATGGAGGATGATGGCTGAAGTATAAATAGGGGGAGGCCTGACTATATTACACTGCCACCAACCCACCAAAGCAAATGCCACGTGCTTACCATGGTGGAAGCAACCACCGGATGGCTGGAAACATACGCTGTGCCCCATGCCACTACACAGAACACTGGCCTGGGCCTTGAGATTTTGCAGCAACACGGCACCCCAGAGAGAACTGAGTCAGACAATGGGACTCATTTACGGAATAACCTTATACACACTTGGGCCAAAGAGCATGGCATTGAGTGGGTATATCACATCCCCTACCATGCACCAGCCTCTGGGAAAACTGAACAGTACAATGGGCTGCTAAAAACTACACTGAGAGCAATGCATGGTGGGACTTTCAAACATAGGGATACACATTTACCAAAGGCCACCTGCCTGGTCAAATTCAGAGGATCCACCAACATGGCTGGCCCAGCCCAGTCAGAACCTTTCCATATAGTAGAAGGGGATAAAGTTCCTATGGTGCAGATAAAGAATTTGCTGGGGAAGACAGTCTGGGTTATTCCTGCTTCAGCTAAAGGCAAACCCACTTGTGGGATTGCTTTTGCTCAGGGACCTGGATATACTTGGTAAAAAAGGAAGATGGGGAAGTCCGATGTGTACCTCAAGGGGATTTGAGTTTAGGGGAAAACAGCCAATGAACTCAATTATATGCTATTGCCTGTTATGTAGCACTTTTATAGCCCACCAACTAGATGTCTTCAGGTCACCAGCAACTGGCCCTGACTTCCCTCCAACCATCATCCCAACAAAGAATGAAATTTGATGAAACCAGACAAGTTCTGCAGTGTGATCAGCAGGCAACAATCCAACACTGCACACCATCTCCCCTGCTCTGAAAGACTGTTACAAGAGATGGAGTCTGACATCATGGACAGGACAAACTCAGCAGCTTTATAGGGATTTGTTTGCACTAAGGAATCATATCTCTCTCTTTGTGTGTATGTATATATATAGATATACAAATACATACAGATATATCTATCTCATATATATATACACACATATATGTATATGAGACTAGTGATGGTATATTGAAAAATGTGGGATCTAAGCATGACGTGAATGGTGTGGAATAAGGGGTGGATACTGTCCTGAGTTCAGCAGCAGCAGTCATTTTTCTCCTTCTCAGTAGCTGGTGAGTGCTGTGTTTTGATTTTCAGTCTGGGAACAGCGTTGATAACACCGATGGTTTTAGTTGCTGCTCAGTAATGTTTACTCTGACCAAGGACTTTCTGAGCCTCATGCTCTGCCAGGGAGGAGGGGAAGCCAGAAGGAAGCAGAGACAGCACACCTGACACAAATTAGCCAAAGAGGTATTCCATACCACAGCATGTCATGCCCAGTATATAAACTGGGGGCAGTTATCCGGAAGGGCTAGATCACTGCTCAGGTTGGGCTGGGTACTCATCAGCAGCTGGTGAGCGCTTGTATTCTCTTCCCTTGTTATTTCCCTTATCATTACTATTGGTGGTAGCAGTAGTGGTTTGTGTTATTATACCTTAGTTATTGGAGTGTTCTTATCTCAGCCCATGGGAGTTACATTCTTTCGATTCTCCTCCCCATCCCTCCAGGAGTGGGGTGAGGAAGAAGGACGGGGTGGGGAGTGAGTAAGCAGCTGCATGGTTCTGAATTACCAGCTGAGCTTTAACCATGACAGCAAGTTTGCACTGGATGCTCAAGCCCAAAAATATAAACCAATGGTCAACACAGCTGCCTCCATCTGTACAGATCAGTAACTGCTTTCATGGAGGAGCTATTGAAGGAGACACACAGTATGAGGAGTGTGGAAGGTTTAGCATGTGGCTATGCCTCCTAAAGGTAACAGCTGATTGCTTGAACATTTAGTTGTAAGCATACTTCAGAGGCATAAATGAATGAAGAATAATGGCTCAGTATTAGGAACCAAAGTATACCTTCCAAAAAACCATCTCCCCACCACCTTTTGTTAGTATTATTTGCATCCCATTTTGCAGTCTGATTCACTGCTTCAGGTATCAAGCTCTCTGCTGCAAGAACACCCTATCCCAGTAGCTTTGTTTAACCTTGTTACAAACACAAAATCACCCTCTTACCAGATGCATACAGTTCTCTGTAAAAAGGAGAAAACCTCTGCACAAAACACAGCACAACAAAAAAATGACACAAACACTGTTCATGCAAATCCACCATGTTATGTTTTTATGCTAACAGCTCTTTAACTCTCACCCCAGTCACTTGCAAGGTTTCAACAGAGTTTAGAAGCACCTTTTCCAGACTAATGGCACAATACAAGAGCCACTTCAGAGCTTCTAGCATTTACCACCTACAGATCCAAGCCTCCCCTGAAGAAAATGCAGGTTAACTGCGTAACACAGTCACACTTCACAGCCACAGACAACACTACCACTTACAAGGTTTCATCTTACTCTGCTGGAATGTAGGCTGGTTCAGTCCAGATGTGCTCAGCTTCCTTTGCACGAAGGGGTCATTGTTCACTGCAGGAAGGCCCAGGGCTCCAGTTCCTATGCCAGTCAGGCTACCCGTAGTAAGGCCACCTACTGAAATGGAAACCCATAGTAAGTTTGACCTTACTACTAAAGACCTCCTACTAAAATGCAAACAGCTCGTAATCTCAGTTGTACCCTCTACCGTACATGCTCATCACTCCAGGCACTTGTTTCCAACTCCAAGCTCTAGAACCTAATAACTGTCTAATATCAAGCAGTTTTCTTTCATGCAATTCTTCATCTGTCTTAACATAAAATAAAGCTACCAAAATCTGTCAAAATTTACCCCTCTTGATTCTCAAACTTTTTACCTACTGCAGTTCAACGTTCCGAAGTTTAAGCAGCAACCTAGGAGCAAGGACTATGTAATTCCCTCCCACATGACACAGAGCTGTCAGCCCAGTTAATTTTTAACCACAGCAGTAATAGTGCCTTAGCTCCAGGATGTCACAAATACAAACCACTGCACTGGATAGAAGTACCTGGAAGCTGTGAAGACAGTCCTCCAATGCCACTGAAGCCCGTTGTCTGGTTTTGGGTAGAAAGAGGGGGGAACGCTTTTGCTGGTGACTGTGGCGTACTGAATGCAGAGCCCAAGTTTGGAGGGAAGCCTTGCATACTCTGGGTGTGAGGAGCAGCTGAGCCACCTAAGCTAAGAGATGCCATTCCTGCAAGCGAATCAATCTGAAGAAAGGAAGATTATACACAGACATCCATGAACCCCAATCAAGCTGATTTTTGGCAGGTTTTTACAGAGACAGCAATGTATCAAGACACTCCTGAGAACAGCTCTTTTGCATGTTTACTGCATGATTCTCAAGTCATCCAGATCACTCCCCCCCCCCCAAAAATAAAATCAGTCTGTCCACAGAATGCTGTTTCATTTTTAATTCTTCAAGCCCATGAACTCCTATTCTATCAGACATTTTACAGAAAGGCCAATTGTTCCATAGTCTCCACCTAAGTTTAATGACAGTAAATGCTTGTTAAGTAGCAGCATGTTTGTACTAGTTTATGTCTGCAGTTTACAACCTCAGACATCACCCCAAGACTTAAAGGCTATTTCATATCAAGCTTACAGTGTTTCTGACTGTCTGAAAGATCCCGTTACGCCCAGTTTTTACAGGTAAATACGTGAATGCACATTAATCTTCACATTAATACCCGAGTGATAAGCAGGAGGGAGGCACAATACCAGCTGACAAGCAGTTAAGTTAAGAGCTCCTGACTAGCAACAGCAGAAAACTGTTTCCTACCCAAAAGACAGCATGACTACAAATAACATCTGCTGCTCCATTTACTCACAGCAGTTTTTTGCAGCAAGTTGCCAAGATATCTGGTACATCTGATGAGGAACTTTATTAAAGCAACAATTTACAAGGAAACTGCTCTCTGTATTTAGTTGAAATAATCTGATGCTTCAGACATTCTTAAATGCTAAATTGTCACTACTGCATGTGAAAACACTTGTCACTGTTTTAAAATCTGATACTGAACATAATAGCTAGCAGCAAAACCTGTCTGTAATGTGTTGCTCTCACAGGAGAAAGGGATGATGAGCAGCAGGGAGTAGCTTAAATGTACCTTGTTTTTAAAAGAGCAGTTGAAAGCTGAAGAGCCCCAGTTATAACAAGCCCTTATGCTCTAGCACTTTTGCTTGGCCAGTGAAGCTACAAACAAGACACATGAGGCTCAAAGGCAGTGCTTAATTTTCACAAGTCTTAGTACATTTTAGCACTTCAAAAGAAACTCTTATTTTAAATAAACCAAATCTCTATCCCTCCTCAGTGCTACCATCCTGCTATACTTCAGTTATCTTACAGGCATCCATGAAGATAGTTCTGACCTACAACCCTCAGGCATTATTCTGCAGTTACAAGCAAGTTATCTAGACATGCAAGCATAAAACTAACAGAGCCAGATCATGCTGAAAAGTGCTCAAATAGTGCAGTGGAACTAGTGGTAAAACACCAGCTTCTAAAAACACATCACATTATTCATCTACCTGTACAGGAGAGATGGCATCCAAGCTGCTAGCGCTGGGCGGGCGTCCTTTGGGCATGACTCCAGGTGGTGGCTGCCTGGCTTTATTCATGACATTGCTGCAGTTAGCTACCATGGTGAGGATTGTCTCCGATAGCTCCTGAGAAACACTCCTAGAACATGAAAGTAGGGTAGTGAGCCATGCAACAGCTCTCAGCCTAGAGCCCCCGATTTATTTGGGTTTTCTTACAGAAATTTGGGTCGCACTTCACCAATAGAAGCTACAGAGCAACCCCCAGCAGAAGCTACATTTTGTTATTTGCAAAACTTGTGCTACATGTCCCAAAAGAAACAGCTGTATTAAAAAAGATAATTCTAAACTGTATTTCTAAAAATTAATCTCCAACAGAATATTCCTTTGTTTCCACTAATGCAAATACTGCTTTACAGTTACCCCAGCAAATAATGACTTGCATAAAGCTGGGATATGTACCTACATGGCTCCAGCAGTCCTTGGAAGAGCAGACTATCTACAACACTTTGACTGTTGTTGCCCACATTATGGGCTCTATACAGCTCAGCCTCATGAATTCAATCACACAATAATGATGTGGTGATCCCTTGCTCGAATCTGCTCCTCAAAGCTCCCTTCTGTCCTGACATCACAGTTTGTGATTATTCCCATTCTGAACCCACATTACACACAAGATCTCTCCAAAAGGATATGCAACATGTCTAAAGCTTAGTTTACACACTGAGAAGACAAAAAATGAGAGGTGAATACCATCACCTGCTCCACCAAAATTCATCTGTCTGAACTGAAACATGCTTCCTGCATTAACATGAAATCAAAACAAAAAGAAAATCAACCTAATCAAGGAAATTGTACTCAAAAGCCAACAGAAATCAAACTTCAGAATGAAGATACTACACAATCAAGAGCAGTCAGTACTTCTTTCCAAGGTATTCCATGTCTGGCTGCCAGGTTCCTAAACTAGAAGGAAAGCCAGCTCTGCTGTGGACATACCTAAGCAAAGCATGCTAACACAAAACTGACGTTTTCCTTTTGGAAAATACAGCCAACTGTTTATGGCCTTCCAATGCACCCTTGTTACCCTTTTCTGAAGATTCCTCATTTTAACTCAATTTACACAAGCTTTTACTGCACAGCTGCTGGGGTGAGGGGAAAGAAAGAGGAATCCTGATGATTAAGGCAGAAAAACAAAGTACAGATCAGCCTTCAGCTTTGGCAAGTATCCCATTACAGGCTAACACACAGCTATCAGCTTCCAGTTATTTTTCAACACTATTAGCTAATCCAAGACATGGGAATCTGGTGAGCAGGTGTCCATACAGGGCAACGAACATTTTATCAACTGTTCCATAAGCTGATTCTTCACGTGCTTTAACACCCTCTCACCACGGCAAGGAATTTTAAAAGCAAGGAGCTTGGGGGAGTACCAAACAGCAATCAGAAACGTAACTTCAAATGAAAAAACTCAAAGGGAGTTGCTTTGAGAAAGTGCACCCAGACCTGAATACAGGGCTTTAAGCACGGCATGTGGTAGGCTCAGTAACTACAGAATGTATTTGCCTACATTCCAATGCCACATCCTTAGAAATCTCCACATTCAAATGTATGACCAATTAACAGGCTTTTTTTCTGAACAGGGCTTTTTTCTGATGTAGGAGGCATTCCAAGACTGTACAGCACTGCAGCTAAACAGGGAACAGGACTGGGGACTGAAGAGCTGGGTTCACACACAGTTACCACCATCTTTTGCTTACCCCCCCCCCCTTTTTTTTTATAGCAGATAAATAAAAAACAGCCCACAACGAAGACTAAACCAGGCTTATATTCCTAGAGTTTGAGATGGTGACTAGTTAGGCCATTAGTGCTTTGGAGCAAACCTCTAATACCATGTCCTGCCATTTAGAAATTGAAGGTTAACTTCTTTGTCATATCAAAGGACACACTGAATCAAGATGCAAACATCACAGTAGTTTTAGATAGTACAAAACTGCAGTTTTCACAAAAAGCCCCACCAAATCCCTTCATGCGAGGCAAATTATACCAAGTAGTACATAGGTGGGCATGATTTGGTAAGTAGATCTTAAAGAAAATGTTCGTACTTTCAAGTTTTATGTAAAAATATATTCAGGTGTCCAGCCCAATCAATGCCATTCCTAGAAAAGAACCAGAGGAAAACTGTAAGAGAACTTTTGAAACACAAGTAAGGAGGAGAGCCAGCAAACACTCAAGACAGCTCTAGAGGAGCAAAACTGTCAGCTTAAGGGAAGCTCCAGCTTGCTAGAATAACAAGGGGGTTTTTAAGCCATTTTTACAAAGCTTTTTCACTCTCCTGGGCACAGGCAGCCAAAAGCCTCTTCTCGAGGGAGGGACAGAGAAAGAAGACTGTCGTCCCCCCCCACTGACACACTGGGGCTGTGCTAGACACAACAATATGGGGCTGTGCTAGACACAACAACATGGGGCCGTGCTAGACACAACAACATCACTGCAGTTCCTTCAGGAGAGGACTTCTCATAAGCACTTTGTAACCAAGTCACAAGCTTGCTCAGCCTGTGACACCCATAAGCACCCCAACTTCATTGTAAAAGCACTCAGTAATAAAAGAAACTTACTGCCTTTTGAAGCCTCTCAGCTATATGATGACGCAACTGCAGTGCTCACCAGTGGTGAACAAGTGGCATCAAAACCAAAGAGTCTCAGAACATGCAAGGTCCTGATGGCTAAAAAAAGCATCTCCCTGGACATAAACCAGGACAAGAAAAACCACAGCCTAATTAAGGAGGTGGCTCCTAAACCCACAGATTTAGGAGATGCCAGACTTCAGCTACCCTCCCACATATATATATATAATATTTTCCATGATCTTAATCTTCTAGTCTTCACAATGCCTACTTCCATTCATGAATGAAACCTGAGCTAATCAAAGCAACTGCTTCATGAAAGAAATCCAGGCATTTTCTTTTAAAAACTCAAAGAGAATAACAAATGGAAAATGACTGCAAGTAGGTCACATTCTTGCATAAAAGGGAATACAAGTAGCTATAAAAAGAAACCAAAAGCTGAGAGAATTGTGCCAGTAGAGAACTAGTAGCTCTTAGAATTAACTGAATAAATAAAACCTGGTAACATATTAAGATTCAGAACACAGTGATGTCAGATGCAAGTGAAGACTACAATTAACTATTAAACCTCTAAAATCTGGATGTGGTAGGATGTAAAATAAATGTAATTTCTGAACTGTAGTTTCAGAAGACGCACCTTGAGTTGAAAAGTAACAGCCATCTTTTCAGTCCAAGAGGCATGCCATTGCATTTCAGGAGTGATATTCAAATAGCATCCATTGTATTTCAGGAGTGATACTCAAAAAGCATTTGAGCATTTGACCAGGGCCCGGTCTGGGAGCTCTGCTCTGGCTGCCCCGGCAGTGGCCACCGTAGGCACCCAGACAGAGCCGATGAGAGGGGAGGCTGCAGTGCAGAGCTCAGAGCATAGGGAGGGCCTGCACTGGTCTGGTGAGGGAAAGGTGCTCCCTGGTGGAGGTCCTCCTGCAGCAAGTGGCTGAGCTGTGGGAAGCTATTAATAGGCTACGAGATGTCAGGGTAGCTGAAAGGAAGCAGGAATGCTTGCTCCTGGCCCAAACTGTGCAGAGGCCTCAAGCTTCCCCTGTAGCTCATGGAGGAAAAGAGGAGGTCATTAACCTGCGAAGCTGGGAACTGGTGACAAAAAAAAAAAACAACAAAAAAAGGAGGAAAAGGACAATTAAAAGCAAGGGGCTTCCTCCGAAATCTGTTGTCCCCACACAGAACCGCTTTGCTGTCCTGCATGGGGCTCATGAGGAAACCCACTTCCACCAGAAACAGCTGACTGATGCACTGGTAAAGAAGATCTCTACTGGTGCTGCCAGGAAAAAGCGGCGGGTCATAGTAGTAGGGGATTCTACTTTGAAAGGGACAGAAGCACTGGTGTGTCAGCCTGACGTGGTCTCAAGGGAAGTGTGTTGCCTACCAGAGGCATGGGATCAGGGATGTGGCAGAGAGGCTGCCTGCTCTAGTAAGCCCCACGGACTATTACCCACTTCTGGTGACACATGTGGGTGCTAGGGATATAGACAGTAGTAGCCTGGGGAACATAAAGGACTACAGAGCCCTGGGAGAGGTGGTTAAGGGCTCTGGAGCTCAGACAGTCTTTTCATTTGTTCTCCAGGATACAGGGGAGGACCTAAAAAAAGCTAGGAGGATTAGCCAGGTTAATAAATGGTTAAAAGGGTGGTGCCATAGTCAGGGGTTTGGGTGTCTTGAACATGGGACCCAAGTTGATAGGCCAGGTCTAGCGGGGGCTGGTGGAGCTGGTCTGATAAAAGAAGGGGAAGAGCAGTTTTGGTAGGAGGCTTGCCACACTGGTCAAGGAGGCTTTAAACTAGATGTGTTGGGGGGGGGGGGGGCATCATTCCATCCCAACACACCCAGTCAGTTGCCAGCACCTATAATAAATGCTCGGAGCAATGTAGAGATATTCCAGCTGCTCCAGCCAATGAGCCGGATTCCTTTGGAGCTCGGTTCAGATGCCTCTATACAAATGCCCGTAGCACGGGCAACAAACAAGAGGAATTAGAGATGTGTGCTCATCTACGGGGGTATGATATAACAGGCATCACAGAAACATGGTGGGATGGCTCCTACGACTGGAGTGTTGGAATGGAAGGTTACAGGCTCTTTAGAAAAGACAGGCCTGGCAGGCGCGGAGGGGGAGTTGCCCTTTATGTTAGGGACAGGCTGGAGAGTATGGAACTGTCTGGGGACAGGTGAGCAGTTAACAGAGAGTTTGTGGGTCAGGGTTAAAGGGAGAACAGTGGAAGATTAGACTGGATATAAGGAGGAAATTCTTTCCTGTTAGGGTGGTGAGGCACTGGAATGGGTTGCCCAGGGAGGTTGTGAATGCTCCATCCCTGGCAGTGTTCAAGGCCAGGTTGGACAGAGCCTTGGGTGATATGGTTTAGTGTGAGGTGTCCCTGCCCATGGCAGGGGGGTTCGAACTTGATAATCTTAAGGTCCTTTCCAACCCTAACTATTCTATGATTCTATCATTCTATTTTGAAGTTTAACTGCACAGGTACCAGAAGAAATTTGGGAGAATCCTTTATTTTACAATCTTAGAGCTACCTGAAATTCCCTTCTAGAACAAATACTCATCATGACAAATCCATGCTGATACTCCTTTCCTGGCACCTACATCAGAGCCATGAATCATCCTGCGTACCTTTACAAAGATTCCTTAAAACTTTCAAGACAACACTGCCTAAACCAAAGGACGCAACAGAAGCCTTACCTCAGGTAACAGGCACTGAGACATGTCAGCCTATTTCAGTGTCAAAATTTAACACCAGAACTATCACCATCTCCAGCTTTCAATCCCCTCCGGCTCACATGTCACACTACACTACACCTCTGAAATACTGCTGCAGTTGAACAGCAGCTTGATCTGACAGCAGCAAGAAATGACACCACAAATATTTTACAACACTGTCATTAAAAAAAGCCCCACAGTATTTAAAAACTGGCTTGCCCAATTTCAGTTTCCATGAGCCTTTCTGCAGTTTGCCCCTCCCTGTAGCAAATAAAACACCCCCCTACGACCCACGCTTTGTATTCTTGACACTAGCTTAACAGCCTGATATGAAAAAGATCTTGGATGTTTTTTACTCTTTTAACTACTTCCAGACTGTCTCAAATGAAGACAACAGAAGTTACATGACTAGTTTCAGTCTCAATTACATTACATACAACCACCTCATACCACTTTGCTCCATCACATAATGGCTGCATTAGCCCTTTCTACTAAGGTAGCAACCACAGAGACGTTTGCTTAACACACTCACAAAATCCTTTCCCCAGTCACTGTTTTCCAACATGCCATCCCATTCTGTACTTACAGCCTGTATTCCTTCTTGCCCAAATTACATCCCTTTATCTAGTCACTAACAACCCAGGATCTGACTAACCAGACATCCCCTGTCACCAAGACCAGGTAACCTAATTATAAAGACAGGATCACTCAAACTCTCGTGACTTACCCTGCAACAGAAGTTTCAGTGCAAAATTAAACATATTTCTGGTTCTATATGACTGCAAGCTTATTTACTCTTATGAACCCTATTCTCTATGTGAAATTCCAAACCAGCTGTGACCATGAGCCAGCAAACAAGCTGCAAACAGATTACACGTTCTGCATAAACAACCCTTACCCAGCACAAGCTTGAAGACATGCCAACATAGTCGCCAAGGTTTCTGGAGGAAGTTGAGCACTTTTGGGCTGGTCTTTTTCTGGAGCAAGGCCACCCAGGATAGATGGACATCTTCTCTTTAAGAAAGTCATACAGGCCTGGATGAAAGGCTCCTGAGGAAAAAAATGTTCTGTTAATCTGCAGTTAGCAATTGCACCACGGAAGGAACTGCACTACGCTATTATTCAGTGAAACCATTGAACTATCGGACCATGGAGACTTTCCACAACTTTAAAGCTACTTATAAAACTGTTAAAGTGACTTTAATTAGTTACTGATAAAGTGCAGAAATAAGAAGAAAAATGCTGTTTTACCCCATGCTCCCGAATTTTATCTGTGAGCCATTTGTCAAGTTTGAGGTATTCCCGTCGAGAGGCAAGTGCAGCAAGGTCGATAACAAAGGCAAACGGAGTACCATTTAGCAGCATTGACAAGGCCTAAAGGAAAAAAAATTAAAAATCAGAAGAGTACTAGTGAAGGCACAAGGATAAACACCCCCTCTCCTGCTTTTCCTTTCTAATCTCCACATAGTTTTTAGTAAAGCAGCCTTGCTATCACACAGAATCCCAGACTGGTTTGGGTTGGAAGGGAACTCAGACCAACCAGTTCCAATCCAAGGCAGGGACACCTTCCACTAGACCAGGGTGCTCCAAGCCCCATCCAACCTGGCCTTGAACACTGCCAGGGATGGGGCAGCCACAGCTTCTCTGGGCACCCTGTGCCAGAGTTCCACCACTTTCACAGGGAAGAATTTTCTTCATGCAGTTATGTTTTCTTTGTCAACAAAAAGGCTGGTATTACAGCTTCATCTACAGCTTGCTAAGGAGAGAAATAAGCAAAAACCTCTCATTTGCAGTCATGATCCTATCCCTTCTTTGAAGCCACCTTGTGTTGACAGTTTTAAATTCCTTTTTATTAATATCCACCAGCAAGTGGAGCTACCAAGTTGACACTGCCACTAAATTAATCAGAAGAGCCTATCACTTCCCTGCAATCAGAGCTCAACCCCTTCAGAGCTCTCTGAATGTATCTCCTCAAAAGTGTTCATCTCTGAAACAGAAACTGCTACAACAAAACTGACTTCCAGCAGCAGCTGGTGCTTCTGCACTTTGAGAGACCCAATTATTTTGTATTTAACTTCAGGAAGCAGTAAAGACTCCGAAGTAAAGACTCCAAACAAGCTAGTCACAACTTCGAATGTGTAAACAACTGAAGCACTGCAGTATTCTTAAGAAATCCCCATACATTAAGCTTAACAGTGCCACCTTCACACAATTACCTGATGGATATTTTCTGTATTCCAATTTCAACGGTATTCAACGTTAAAGCAGTCAAAGCTCTTCCTAGATTTACAGTACATTCACATAGCAAGCTGGTCTATTATACTGCTTCCCAAATAACTTGTCAGCTAAGCCACAGTAACCAATTCTACTGCGACCACCAAGTAAAATGTCTTTGTTTCACAAGAAAGCTAGAAAGCATCCGTAGTCAGACACCACAATTCAGCTGAAGAGCACTTGAAGCCACATGAACATAGGCTTTTATTTTTTTTTAAACCAAGATGAGGTACAGCAGTAACAACTCAATTCAGACAAACTACGTAGTCTTTACTAAATTAGTCACAACTAGGCTTAGCTTTTGTTGAAGATGGGCAAGTCAGCACAAGACCCTGGACAAAAACGTAACAGTACTGTTCTGGGAAGCTCACCTTCAAGTCTTGTGCCACATCAAGGATACGTGAGAGTTTTGCCTGGTCATACTGTTCTCCTCTCATGTACCACTCTGCCATTGCATGCATGATCAGCTGACGAATTGAAGGAGACTGGCCCTAAGGAGAATTACATTAGAACTGTACTTCAAGCCTCTAGAAAAAAGATCAGCTATGTGAACATTAAGTAGAATATCTTACTTCTAAAGCCTTACGTGCAAACATTACTTGCTCTTTAGCTTCAGAACTTCTCTTCTGAGTTGAGCTGTTTTTTGTGCAATAGCAAACTATACTGGAACAATTAAAGTATGTAGGATAACTAAAAATGGCATGTACATCCTCATCCCTCTCCTCTCTTTTGCAGAGAAACTGCTTTAGGAATACACAAATTATTTACAGTGTTATACCTGGTGACATCCTGAAGTGAGAATTACAATGTCGCACCTTAACATGGAAAACAGTATCTAGCTGTTTATAGGGGCAATTTCAAACTACAGCACAAATAAGAGTTTGATGGCAGCAAGGGTTTTGCTTAAAGCTCCCTCATACGGGGAAGTGAAACATCCTCAAGTTGTGGAATGGCACCATGTCATATGGCAGCCATCACTGTGTAGGGTACGAAGCCTACCCTGTGGGAAAAGTCCATATTCTGCCATTTCAAGACCTTATGCAAAAAGCATACCACTTATTCCCTTCATTCTGCAATTTAAATAGTTTTATCATGAAAAATACAAACTGTTCATAGCACTTCAGCTAGCAAATAGCCATATTTGCTTATCACTAATGCTGTTTGAACAGAGCAAGATGTCTGCAACTGCAGATTCCCTCCCACCCTAGAAGCTTCCTCTGCCTTAAATTTTTTTATGGTTCCTATTTGCTTAACTACCAGTGGACACAATGACGAAGGCCATACCAAAAGGCCTACTTGTTTCCTGATTAAATGCATGGATTTGAATATATAGTTACCTTGTCTCTACATGGAAGCTCTCCTTGAAAAAGCTCAACAGCAAATGCTAAATTTTCAGAAAATATCCTAGACTCTTAAGAGTATAAATAGTTTCTTTATACCTAGAAAAACCTCCATCTTTTAGCAAGTACAGTGGAGATTATTTTATACATCTTCACCTCTTGCTGCTTTGAGTTCTACACTTTAAATTTGTGAGGCTGAGAGCTGGGGGTGGGGGAGAATGTTGCTGTTGTGAGATTTTTAGTGTTCTTTTGTTTTAAAAAAAATAAAAGAAAAAAAACCTGTGGTCAACTTTGGTTAAAAGTGAATGGTTAAAACAGTGAAACTTAAAATTTACATTTCCAGAAATATTTTCCCAGCGAACATTATTTGTTTGTTCTGAATATATTTCCCCAAATGAAATTATATAACACCAGTTTGCTTCAAAACAAGGAGGAGACATCTCATTACTTTGAATAAACCACTAATAATTCTAATTCTAATAATTTACTTCTTGGGATTTAAATTACCCAGTTCATTAACCAATACATGCATTGTAATTCTAACTGTACAACCCATTCAACAAACTTTCGGTTATCTGAACAAGCTACAGACACTCCAGTGAAAATACTTACCTGTCCATGCCATGCATAGTGCAAAATGATGGCAGAATTGGGATGGTTGCCAAGGAAAATTGGCATGAGTGTGGAGATGAGTTCGTGGCGCAAGGTATGCCAGGATGTGTTGATCTGCAGTAACGCCAACACCAACATATCTGGGCAATGCTTGATTGGAAAACTGAAGAGCTGCTTAACCTGCTCATACTGTCCTACTTCTGCCAGTCGCAACAGAGATTCAATCAAATCCAGGCTCTTCCTAACAAAATACAAAAATAGACAGACAGCCCCCACCCCCAGTTACAAAGCAATCAGCATACAGGATCCAGTAAATATAAATTTATCCCAGAACTTCTTTCATTCAAGTCCAGCAAGTTCCCCTAATGTGACCCTGGGAAAGACAGATTTCAGTTTATACTGCCCCTATCCCCTTCTATCGGCTCACAGTTTTCTTCCAAAATACATCAGCAGAAATTCTCCAAAGAACTGGAAGACTGCAATGACACTTTCAGATATTATGGAAGCATATGAGAATTTTGGATAATACAAGAACTCTCATTGATCAAACACAGAACAAATACTAAAGGCTGATGTCTGGGAATGTACACAGCTACAAATAATCATGATTGTGTACCTACAAAGCTACATTTGACCAGAAAAACAATCTAACTCAACGTATGAAAAGCAGCTGGGAGGCCTACCATGTAGCTATTTCCCGGTTGTCATCCTCTGGTGGTGCTTTAAGGATGTCTGTGGCAACAGTATGACAAGGGTAGTCAGCGAAACAGAAGATGTCAGGATTTATGAGGGAATGTTGAATGAAGGAGAGCTGGAATAAAAGACAACAAAAATAGCTTAGATATTTAAAGTTTCGGGTTCCTTCCACTTTATCATCTGACAATATTTGCCCTCCCCCGGAGGGATGGGAAGGAGAATCAAAAGAATGCAACTCCGATGGGTTGAGATAAGAACAATTTAGTAACTAAGGTATAACACAAATCACTGCTGCTACCACCAATAATAGTAATGATAAAGGAAATAAAAAGGGAAGAGAATACAACACCTCAGCACCTGCCAACCAATAACTCGCCCACCCCAGCCCGACCAAGCACCGACAGATACCTAGTCCAACCCCACAGTCCTAGCCCTTCTGGGTAACTCTCAGTTACATCCTGGGCGTGATGTACTATGGTATGGAATACCTCTTTGGTCAGTTTGGGTCATGTGTTCTGTCTCTGCTTCATCCCAGCTTCCCCTCCTCCCTGGAAGAGCATGAGGCTCACAAAGTCCTTGGCCAGACCAAACATTTGAGCAGTAACTGAAAACATTGGTGCTATCAGCACCGTTCCCAGGCCCAAAGTCAAAAACACAGCACTGCACCAGCTACCAAGAAGGAGAAAAAAATGACTGCTACTGCTGAACCCAGGACAAATGCAAATAGAGATAAGTTTTATATGAGACCGAACCTCACACTTCTCCCAGGATTTCAGAATGCAACAGATACAGATGTGCTGAGAGGACTTGTCTGCACAAAGCTTTTGTTTAGCTAGATAAAAACCTTGGAACACAGCCATGCAGCAACAGTTCTACACTCAGCTGCATCACACGCCAGAACTCTGCTAAAACCAAAGATGCTGTCACAAATGTACAGCAAATGACCATCTCCTCCTAAACAGTGCAGACTGTTCAATCAACAGACTGTACTTCAGTAACATACCTGAAGCTTATGCTTTTAACAGGCCAAACTGTCAAATGTGGCTTGTCTCAAAATTCACATTTGCCTTTCAATAAATCCAGGAACTTGGCAGGTGTTGTACAGTTACAGCAGAAGTGTTGGTAAACCTACCTGGCCTTCTGCATGCTTCCAAGGTCTGTATATGGCATTAACTGGAAAAACTTCCATGCCCAGCCCTCTCTGGATGCCAAACACAACAATATGCAGGCCCTTGCTGTCACGAATCTGAAATCCTGGATGGTCCAACTCATAGGTTACTACTTTGAAGTCCAGGTTAGGATTCTGCAACCAGAAAAACACGAGAGTAGTCAGCCTTGAAACATTACAGTTTTCACTACTGTCTCATAAGAAACAGTCTTCATCAGTAATTTAACCAGCTTAACCTCCACCTGACTTCTAGGTGAAAGCAAGGGTTTTGGTTTTAAGAACAGGGTTTAGATAGTTTGAGAACTTGATGCAAGTTAATATTTGAAACTAAGCCTGTGAGATTGCACTTCTCTAGCACCACAGGCACTAATGCGTATCTTTCCAAGCATTTGATTAACAAGTCCTCAAAAAAAAACCCAACAAACCCAAACCACCCAAACACACAGCCCCTTTCTCAGCATGGTAACTCATTCCTTGAGTAGGCTTACAAATGCCCTCCAATAAAAGGCAGAAAGGTCTGACCTCCTGGCAAGAAGAACTTGCTTTTTCTTTTGGAGAATGTACACTGCAAGTGCTTGCAAAGCAACTATCTGATTTTCAGCAATAGCATGAAACCGTATGGATTAAGGAGCTTGGGGGGAATCACAGCCGCTGTGCACCACAGACCACTCAATTCAGACAGATGCGCACCAAAGAAAGCTCGCTTTATGTTCCAAGGTTTAGAAAAATAAAACAGGGGCTCCTGCATAGATTAGATGTGACATACAAAAAAATACCACCCAATATAAAGAAGGCAAAGGAAACTGCAATCACATTTCACTGAGTTAATTCAAAAATTGCTACTGGTAAGTGGTAGAAAAAGGTTCCTGTTTCTGAAGCATCTAGTGTTTTGGAATGAGTAGCTACAAAAATCTTTTGTTTCCATTAATGCCTACAGTGAGATGCTTTTTAAAACACGGAGCCTGATGTACTAACTTCCCACTGCCAGAACTAAGTTCAAGCCCACAAACGCTTAGAAAATACACACTGGAGTATGTGGGAGCAGTGGAATAAAAGTGAAGCTGCACCCAAGTTTGCCATTCACGCAGCTTTTCTTTCCTGTAATTCCTCAAAATATTCTTTTCTTGAGGGAAAAAGACACCACTCATTTATGTACAGCAACACAGTTACGAGATTCAAAGCCACTCAAGCGGCTAGGAGCTTAAAAAGCTTTATATTCACACCGAGACATGCCCTTCTTGCAGGTATTCTGCATAAAAGACCAAGATGCTCATAAAACTTACCAACTCTTTAAGAACATCAATTAAGACCTCTACATTCCAGGTATGGGCTTGTGCTCCATCACTTTTATCTTTCCCATCACTCCAAATCCCACTGCCAGGAGCCGAAATAGACTGCAAGTTAAATACACGTCAGATACTAGTTAAGAATAAAGTAGTCTCAAAAGCCCCTAGATACAGAGCTCCCTGCACTACGGAGGCAAGAAGTTCAGAACAGTAACACCACCAGCTGCACACACCTGAGAATCTTTCATTCAAGAATGTGTCACAGACCTTTACAGCAGAACAGTCAGAAGTGTTGAATAACAGAAGTAATTCTTGGATTACTAGAGGATTGCACTGTAACTCCTTATTATCTGCTGATTAAAACATATCTAAGCCCCACTCCAGCAGGCCACTCACCTGTAATGGAATACCATCCGTCAACCCCGAGTGAGTTCGAGCCATCATTCCCAAAACCCTGGCAACCTGGGCAGCCGTAACTTCCCGAACACCAAACTGCATGATTATGTTGCGGCATTCTTCCACACTAAGATGCAAAAAAAAAAACCAGAGAGATCTCAATTCAAAAGCAGGTTTCACTGTGGCACAGCTTAACACAGACACAAAAATAAGGTTTGCACGTACAGTTGGGAGAAACTATTACAGATTGAAGTATAACCGTTCACTCAACCTCAGTTATGTTAGTCAAACGATCCAACGTAACAGAATTGCAGGAGGAGCAAGAAGAAAAACGCAGCAGAAGCTCCATGCAATTATTTCCATGAAACATACTGTACCAGCTGTTCAGTTCAAAGCTAGGTCTACTTAAGCAGCAGCAAGAGCTGTTTCACAGGCTATACTCTTCAAGGCAGAAGCACAGATTAGGTTTAGCACTGACTGCTGTTAAAAGCACTTCCATGTATTGACCTGGGAGACAGAGCTTCAAAGAGTGAAGTTTTTGCTAGCTAGAAGTGAAACAGTTCTTCATTAGACCAACAAGGTTTATACAGCATACCTATAAACAATGTTTTATTAAGAGGCACATGTTAACAAAGGAAATAATTTTCAACATCTTCCAACACATTTATGTTTTTTCTCTTCCTTGTTTGAACAGAAATTTATGTTAATGTTTTTGAGATCTGATCACCTCTCTAAAGTAGTCACTAGACCTTCTTTTAAAATAATCATTTACTTCTCTTATCTCATGTTTCTTAATGAATCTTCCTTTAAAAACAAACACACATCAGGTTCATATTGAGTGCCAAGACCCCCATCAAAACCAGCCTGCAGGCTCCTGTTATGACTACCAGTATTAGAGTACTATCCTAAATCCTTAAAAAACTACATTCAGAAATCAAGCTGAGTTTGTGCACAAAATATATTTAATATTTAATTAATTTTAAATATCCAAATTACCTCTTCAGTAAACAGCTTCTAAAAAAACCTAGCTTCTCCTATTCCAGCTCACACGTCCTGCTGAGGCCATCCCTGCAAACCCACATGGTTCTGTGCATGACAGCCCATTTCTCACAGCTCCAGCAAGACCAGGTGACAGTTGCCCACCTACCATTTCAGATCGGAGGCACAGAGCATGAATATGGAACGCTATTGAAGATGTGGGTCATGTATGACTATGAACATACAAACCCAGGATAAATTTAAGACAGTTGCATTTTTACCAGAATAAGCCTAAGTCAGCAAAGACTGATGCAGCTGTGAAAATACTCTAGCAATTCACTATCATGACTTCAAACATACTGTATATCACACTGACCAAACCCCAGTACCAACAGAAAGCTGCAGCTGGTCAACGCTATTGAAGCAAGACTATTAGATTCAGCTCTTCTGTAACCTATTTCATGTGGACAGGGAGCTAACAGCAGTACAGCAGTCCAGCACAAAAACAAAGTTCTTCCAAAGATCTAGTAGGATTTAGTTGGGATTTATTCTGCCTAGTCACTTTGGTTTTACTCAAAAGAATGATGATGGTCTAATTCTTAAAAAACCTTCAAGAGGAATCTTAATACCTTTATCTAGCCCTTCTCACCATGACAAAAGGCTACATAATTTCAACAGACATGCTACACACAGAAGAAAGCAAAATACAAAACTGGAATCAAAACATATGACCTTATAATAATGAGGTTCTAGTTACTTTAGTACTATGAAGTGTTCTTCAGCCTTTGCTGGAAGAAACACAGGAAAAAAACCACCATCACCCAAGATGCCTGAAAATTACATCTGCCTACAAACCTTGCACAAAAGCCATAGCCAACTTCTTGCATGAAATCTGCCAGAGAACTCTCCATCATGGTTTTGGCTATCCCTCCAGAATCAGGCAGGATCCTGTCCATTAGAATGTTCCGTTTTCCAGGGTACAGAAGTGGTGCAAGCACCACAGGACAACGCTCCTGCGGAAAATCTAAAGACAAAAGTAACAAAAAGTGTCAAACCCGCCCCCCCAACACTAGTTGCATGCAACTGACTCTTTGAAATGACTGCCGTGTTACAGTCTCCTCACTGCTACAGAAATCAAGAGGGCACGCATTCAGTGCGCATCCCTCCCTCCCACCTCCCCCTTCCATACAGGGACTTGGAAATTCATAGAGTGGCTTGGGCTGAAAGGGACCATAAAGCTCATCCAGCTCCAACCCCCTGCCATGGGCAGGGACACCTTCCACTAGACCAGGCTGCTCCAAGCCCTGTCCAACCTGGCCTTGAACACTGCCAGGGATGGGGCAGCCACAGCTTCTCTGGACAACCTGTGCCAGGGCCTCAGCACCCTCACAGGGAAGAATCTCATCTCAATCTCCCCTCTGTCAGATTAAAGCAATTCCCCCTGTCCTGTCACTACATGCCCTTGTATTCCTAGAGAATAAGAATGTAGAATAGACTGGGTTCCCACAGGGTCACTGCAACTGCTCAAAAGGGGCAGTAGCCCTGCTGGCAGTAAATTTAGACCTGGATTATTAGTAACAGCAGTCATCCAAAAAAAGCACAGAGCAGGAAACAATACAACTAGAACAGCAAAAGCCTCTCTTCCAACTCAGGAAGTATTAGGAAACAAAGAACCTGCTTTTGAATCTAAGAAGTACAGGAAATGTAAAGCAGGTATTTAGGCATGAAAAGAGAGAATGCTCCCTTCTTCCTCCCTGGGAAGCAAAGACTAAGGGAGACACAGTAACAAGGGGATCAGATGTGGGAGTAGGATTTTGGTCCACAGTGGAAAGCAGCAAAGACAACTTCTGGCTGAGCTTTTCTGAGACAGAATTATCCTTAGTTAAGGTGATGCATAATGTCTCCATTCTCTTTGGAGCCATTCAGAGAAGAGTTACCAATTTCCCAAAGCCACATGGGGGGTATTACAGAAATTAATACACTCATGTTCACTGAAGTATGAATGAAGAAATTATAATTAAATATTCTGCTCTTGCATAAGAGTGCCTTCCTCTAGGTCTGTGTTGTGTTAAATTCAGTTAGCTTCTTAAGTCCAAATCCTCCTTATCCTGGTCGGTTTACAGCAAACACTGTTGTTTCAGAAAGCAAGACACTACTGTATTGATAACATCCCCTGCCGTCACAGGAGGACCATGGCAGCTTCCAAGAAATGATTCAAGTTTTATTCAGATGCACTCCTCCCTTGTAGTAGTGTTTCCTCATAGATACCCACTCCATATACACACAACCCAGTGCTTAAAACAGTATCACAGAATAGTTAGAGTTGGAAAGGACCTTAAGATCATTTAGTTGCAACCCCCCTGCCATGGGCAGGGACATCTACTTGTCTGAAATGGTATGTCCTTTACACTGTAAGGAGCTCAACTTTTTTAACTACTCTGCACTGAGTTGCTTTAATTAAACCTACAAATACCATCTCACAAAAGCATACATGAATATCCCCCTAATTAACTGATTGATCACTCCTCAAAAACCCCAAACATGAGGCCACATTACAGCTCACTGAAAGAAAACCAGTACATTATGCCCGAACAGTGGTATTTTTCTGCCAGTGGACAGACTTCTGAAAATACAACCAAGTTCTACCTCACCCAGCTCCCCACAGTTCAACCAGCAGTCTGCACTGGCAGTAAGTTACAAAAATCCATTCCAAAGTCTGCGTTTAGTCAGGCTTCTGGATCACCACCACACTTACCTCTACGCAATGTTTTGAGGAAAGCGTCAATCTGTTCCTGTCCTACCCCAAAGGCTCCTTTCTGCCCAAAAAGGAGATGGGAGAGAAGAAGGTGCAGGACCTCTATTGCAATATCTTGGAAGCCACCTTCTTGATTTCCACTGACGTCTGCGTCAATGTAAGAGCGCAAAAGATCCGGGAGTTTCTGTTTGATAAACTGGGCAGCTTTTAAAGACAAAAGAGTTTGAGGATCAAAACCTGAACTTCTTTTTAATATAAAGACTCTTTTTAGCTAGGTACTATTCTCTTAGTCTGAGTTTGTTAACCACAAGCCACAACAGCAAGCTGAGAGTTAAATAGAAGTCTCAACCCGTACCTCAGAACTCAAAAATTAATGGACAACTAAAATGCAGTGTATCACAGCACCTCAATTTGATTCATCATCTGGCAAATAATTCATGGAAGCAAGTCATTCAACTTCATGTAAGACAAGGTGACTGTGTTATCTACTGCCCCTCCCAAAGTGGTGTTAGACCTCAATGCTACCACTAATTGCAAGGTCTTGCACTACTCCAGTCATGCAGGCACACATGTATCCATCTAGAAAGCTCACTGCTTACATAGAAAACATGTCCCTGCTGCAGTACTTCAAAAGCTTCACTTACCAAAACCTCGTAGGTCTGAGCTGAAAGAATTCAGTAAAGCAAGTCCAAAAATCACCTACAAACAAGAATGAGTATCACAGTAAGGGAACATCATCCTTGCTAACAAGCTGAGTCAAAAAACATGAAAGTATTTTTGAGGCAAGTGTTCACCTACCTCTTGAACTTTACTTAGTTTTATAACTTTACTCAATTGGGCAAATAAGTGGGGTGAAGGCTTTAAACTCTGAAATAGAGAAGAGTTAAAATGGAAGCTGTTATGGAAATAGTGTCATTTGAACTGCAGCAGCCTACCCAAAGTTCATCTGCATTATCTGGAATATTAGGAACTATTCTGCTGTAGGTTAATACAAAGCTTATGTGGCTGAACAAACATCGCTGGAACTACTTCTGGATACATATAAACTAAGTTTCTTCTACATATCCCACACTTTCACTAACAAACCACTATTGTGGCTTTGACACTGAGAGAAGGAAGACCACTAATGAATCATTTTTGGTTCCAGCTACCACAAACAAGCCATAAAGTACTAGCCATAGATTAAGCTTTAAAACCAATTTTCAGTCATTTTGAATGATCAACTTTCTCTGTTTAACAAACACAGCTTCTGGGCAAGCTCAATTTTTGAAGACTTCAGTGAAACCAATCTTAGCCATAAAAAAAACAACCCCGGAAAAACCCCAGTGAAAACCAGCTGGTTTCCTGAATACCAATTCACTGCAGTTTCTGACACTGGGATCTCCTTCAAGAAGCATACAAACCTTCTGATAGTGTAATGGATTGTCAATGGCGTAGGACAGCGTCGAGATAAAATTTGGTTTTGTAATCAGTGACGTACACTCCTGGATCAGAAATTGAGTCTGAAAAGAACAACATAACTTGAAAACCCCCAAACTGTTTCATAACAGGACAATAAAACAAAGACCTATGCACCTTATCTTTGTTCAGCTTTACTGCACACAGTACTGGGTGAATAGTACCGCACACAATAAAGCTAAACAAAGAGAAGGTGCTTAAGTCTTTTTAATTGCCCAAATTCTCATCAACAGTAAACAGTTTCTTCTCATTCCAGTTTTCTTCAGGTTTAGTCTGCCTTTTTTTTAAGACTAAGAAAGGGATCAAATATTCTCCATCGTATGTGCAATGTTTCATCTTCTGCAAGCATCTTCCCACACTGCAATAGACAATTTAATAATGTTTGATTCCCATTTATAAGCAAAAAAGTCTGTGGCGGAATGGCTAAAGGATGAAAACACTCCTGAGAGAATAGATGCCAGAAGTGTCAGGTAGTGGATCTGAAAGTTTTAAAAGACAAAGAAAGGCTTTCAAAATAGAGCACTGCATGTGCTGGCAAACATAACTGCACTGAAGCTATGTGGTCTTTCAGATTAAGCGATTATAAGTGTCAGGTATTAACAATCTGTCATCTCTGACTTGAGGACCAGCAAAATGTGCTTGCAATTGAAAGGCCACATACAATAAAAGAAGTTGGCTTAAAGCTATTCTCTCTTACCTGCCTTCATGCTTAAATCTTATTGCAGATTTTTAACAACCAAACATAATTAGCAGATTCCTCAGTGCAAACTGTACCTGATGAAAATCTTTGCCACTGCTTTTACCATCGCCACTGAAATCCACGTGCGAGAATAGGCAGCGCAGTAAATGCCTGTCTGCCTCGGGACCGTGCCTATTCACAATCTGGAAAAGAAAAATACAAACTTGGTAGCGATTAGTCATTACAGAGCAAGCTCCACGTCTAGTATCATGAGCACACCAGTACTTCTAGTGGTTAAGTAATCTAAAACTGCTAAAAATGTTCCTTTTTAATCAGTAACCTTAGAAACCATGGCATTAACCCTATTTGCAAATGAAAAATGTAAACCAACAGTTAAAGAAAGGATCTAGAGGCAAGACATTGACACAGAAGCCAGGCATTTCATGGGTAGTATATTCTTAATAAGCTAAGTAAGGGTTTTCAAGAAACCTAGAGAAGGATTTCAAGCTTCTCTGCCACCAAAGCAGCCCAGAACCCACAAAGTGCCATGGCCTCAGTCTTCTCCATGGCTACAGTGCCTAACTGCAGGAGTATGGCCATGAGACAGCCTTCACCTCTGTGCCATGCTTGTGTAGCAGGAATTTATCCCAGAGCCAAGCCATCACAGAGTATTCTTCCTAGATCTCAGAGGCAGCTTCTACATTGTCTCCTGATCCTGACTGACTTGACCGCCATTGCTCCAGGGTCTTTTAAGACATAAGGGAGTACCTACACAAGGAGGTGTTTCCTGTGATCCAAAGAAAAAAGCTCACCTCAAACTTGCTCATTAGCAAGCTTTAAAAATCAAATGCCACAGGCTGAACACCTGCAGCTGAAATCTTTCACCAAATCTTCTCCCTGTCATTAGAGCTCATTCAACTAGATTCTACACTTCAGTCAGAAAGAGGTGATCTGCATTTGTTAATCTGCAACACCTATAACTCTTAACAACAGTATCACATTTTTGCTAGCATCTCCTGTCATGTGCCTTGTTTCTTGGCTAAAGACTGTACCATCAACTTTGTCTGCAGTTATCTTCAGGTTGTTTCAGTGCTTATTCACTTCTTTAAATCTCATCTAACACAACAACATTACTTGTTTTTAATAAAATCCATACTGGCAGAAATTCAAAGTCACAATCACCAGTAGCTAGTCTTTTTTATCCAAAGAGTACAGATAACATCAAATCCAACCTTTACTGGCAATTTTTTTGCCATTGTTCCTCCATTTCTACCTATTGGAGAGACACAACATGTGCCAGCACAAACCAGCAGCTCTGCATGTGCTCTGACTGCCTTCACCAAGCCCACTGCTTCACCCCATCATAAATATCCTTGTTTGCCAGTAGCTTCTTCGTACAAAAGGAAAAACAGCATTGCTTTAGCCTCTGTGGGCTCCAGCCCTGCTGTTACCGATTGTTCCTATCACAAATCCTCTACCATTACACTGTGGTTTAAGCCCAATTGGTAACTCAGAACTGCACAGCCATTCACTCACTCCCCCTGCTTTTTCCCTCCCCCAGCTGCCAGGATAAGGAGGGGAACTGGAAGAACACAACTCACAGGGGTGGAGATGAGAACAGTCCAGTAACTAAGGTATCATACAAAATCACTACTGCTACCACTATAATAATAATGGAAATAACATGGGTAAAGAATATAAAACCCATAAGGGAAAACAGTAACACAAGTGATGCCTCAGCACCTGCCGACCGATACCCAGACAACCCTAACAGCAAACTGGGCTTTTCGGGTAACTCCCCCAGTTTATATACCGGACATGATGTGCTGTGGTATGGAATACCCCGTCTGGCTAGTTCGGGTTAGGTGTCCTGTCTCTGCTTCCTCCTGGCTTTTTGTGCCCCTCCTCACTGCCAGAGCATGAGACTGAGAAGTCTTTGATCGGGGTAAACATTACTTAGCAACAACTAAAACACCTGTGTTACCAGACATTTCTCAGACTAAACTTGAAAACACAGCACTGCACCACCTACCTAGCAGAAAAACAACTGTTACAGCTGCGCCCAGGACACATTATCTGACACTATGCTCCCCCTTCCCCCTCAGCCTGCTGATTCCAGTGCCTGACAACTTTGGTTCTGCTAGAAAAAAAAATAGCCAAGTTGGATATATCTCTGCTTCTTGACCAGAGGCTTATGGTGCATCAGTCCAGAGTAAAGAGCTCACTCTAACTATGCTCACAGTCCTGTCTCTGTAGACAGCCATAGCCCATGATTATGTAAGAGCACACTTGGACTGGTGCAAACGCCAGCAAAACTAAACTGACAGCGAGGTTTATTGGCTAGCTCAGGCTTCAAAAACCAGGCAATTTGTTGAGGTAATCCCAATTAAATATGAAGCTTTGGATGTGGTAACAGGAGTGGCATGAAGCTGGATCAATCTCCTAGGGAGCTACTTGGTGCTATCACCAAGATAAATTCATCAAAGCAGGTGGATGCACAAGAAAACTGTACATACTAAAGCCATCAATGCAATATTTTATGCATCAGAATTATACTGCTTCCTTGCACAGAAGTAACTTCAAACAGACAATAATTTGAAAATTTAACATATGGGGAGGAGGGAAAGAGAAGGCTTGAAGTGCAACGTAACATCTTTCAACTCTAACTACAATTCACATAAAAGCTTTTACAGGGAACTGGAATGAGAACTGCTAGCTTTCCTGTAGAGACAGCTGAAAGAATCATAGAATCACAGGGTACACTGTGTTGGGAGGGACCTTAAAGCTCATTCAGTTCCAAACCCCTGCCGCAGGCAGGGATGACTTCCACTAGAGCAGGTTGCTCCAAGCCCCGTTCAGCCTGGCCTTGAACGCTGCCAGGGATGGGGCAGCCACAGCTCCTCTGGGCACCCTGTGCCAGGGCCTCAGCACCCTCACAGGGAAGAACTTCTTCCCAAGAGCTCATCTCAATCTCCCTCTGTCAGGTTAAAGCCATTCCCCCTTGTCCTGTCCCTACAGGCCCTTATCCAAAGCCCCTCTCCAGGTTTCTTGTAGCTCCTTTAGGCACTGGAGCTGCTCTAAGGTCTCCCTGAATTATTCTCTTCCCCAGGCTGAACAAGCCCAGCTCTCTCAGCCTGTCTCCAGAGCAGAGGCTGTCTTAAAACATCAGCCATGTTAAAAGACTACTGAAAGCATGTTAAGGCAGAAATTAATACCTCAAGCTTTGCCACTGTTCTGCTTGAGAGTAATGTACTTAAATGCCCACTTTGGTGAGTGACAAGAACAACTCCAAGCAGTTTTACACACAGACTAAGTGCTCAGATACAAGCTTGGTAAAACTGAATTAATTATGCCAAAACTTTACATCAGTGTACTCTCAGACTAAGAATTAATGCATGGACATATAGTATCTTCAGTTATCTGAGGAAGAATTGTACTAGTAATCACATAACAAAAGTAGTACCAAGAAGTTTAAAAATAAAAAATAAAATAAAATTTAAAAAAGCATCATGAAGACTTCTTAAGAGTTTAGTCTTGAAATCCTGTATTTGTCTTATAACCAAACATACACAAAAGAGCCATTTCCACAAACCAGTTTCCAATCTCTCAACACAGTGAGCCTGAGGCCTGCCATGAAGAATAAGGAACAACTGGTCCCATTTTAGAGCTCTGTACTCCAACTGAATGGCAGATCAACACTACCTTCTCCCAAATCATTGTTATTCTTTATGCAAGTGCTCCTGACAGACCTGCAAGTCATGCCTAAGCCACACCTTGCTGTAAAAATGGGCTGTTGAAACCAGTCATCTCAGGTGAGCTCCCTGCAAGCACTGAATTTGCAAAAGCATGGAAGCCTTACAAGAAAGGTATTCCATTTCCATGGCTTACCAGATCATTTTAAGCAGTGCATATTGCTGAAATCACCCCCTTGCCTCAAGGTAAGTCATGAATGCACTCTTAAAGAAGTCAGCTGTTACCAGAAATTCACTCTGCATAAGCCCTCTGGCCTCCTAATCTGATGCAAATCACTGCAGGACTGCACTAGTGTAAGGGAAAAAAAAGTATCTAACTGGCCCAGCTATCTGCTGGGAAGTGAATTAAACCAATTTCTAAAACAGGTTCAGTTAACATTTACTTCCTCCAAAGCACAACTCTGTGGATAATGCTTTTCAGCCCATCCTGCTACTCAGAGCTATTTTTGAAAGTGTCAGTTAAACCAGAATTCTTGCCCAGATCTTAAGATATTTGGGTTTCAGTCTGCAGCTACCCTACCTGCCTCCTGAAAACCCAGGGCCCAGACAGCTTAGCTTTACCACCAAGTCATGCTTCATCCAGTGAGATGAGGATCAAAAGCCTCCACCCAATGCAAAGTGAAAGCATTCAGACATTCAGATGTAGGTATCCACCTTCTCCTACTTTCAGGGCAACAACTCTGAACAGTAAATGCATGTTTTCCTTCCTCTCCCAATCAGTGTTCTCTGGAATGTTCAAAAGTTGAAAGATTTCACCTGAAGTAGTTGGGAAAGTTTTGCATATCACCCTCCAAGAGCAGGAGTTAAGTCTAATACTCAAAAAAAACAAAGTTAACAGTGGTCTCAACTCTAAGCTGCTGTATTCCATGACCTGAGAGATGAAACCAAGAGTATCAGAGACATAAGCTGCAGTTCTCAATAGTGCACAGCAATGCACACAACACCACCACAGAGCACAATCAAAACGAGAAGCAAAACTCCATTTCACACTCCAACTTTCTTCTTTCCAGAGTTTATTTTGCAGCACCATTAGTCTACTTACATGCTGTATTTCTTGCTGGCTGGCTCTGTAGTTTTTCTTGGTTAAATTGTCCACCAGGTAGCTGATTTGAGACAAGGCCAGCGAGAGCGAGTCAAGATTCATTGCTGGTTGGGGCGGAAGCAGGCGGCCGAGCCCGGTGCAAAATCACCATTATTCCCCTTTAGTCACCTCAGAGACAGGTTAATTTTTTTTCCCCCAACTAGCCTCTATCTGGTTCTGTGTTACTTTCTTCAGCTCTTCTTTCTCAGTTGTCTTTCTCTGTTCTGAAACATGGCACCTGAAAGACAGCATTACATTAAATTAAAGTTCTGTAGCAACATCACAGCTTTCTCTGATTCTTTTGCTTCCAAGCTAACTTGGCCAAGCAAGTAAAATAAAGTTTAACAAAGGAACTGGTAATACAGACATGATAAATGCAGAAGCCATTTGAAATAACTATGTCCACAAGGAAGTACTATCAAGTTTTCACAACACAAGCTTAGCTGTTTTCACACTACCTACCTACATTTATTGGTTTCTGCCTTTTGCCAGGTTGCAAGAGCTAATAAACAGCTCTCTCAGAAGAGTAACCACCCTTCCAGCACTGGGAGAAAGAAAACCAGATGCAGAATGAATTAGATAAGACACAGCAACAATCAGAGGTCAGAATCATTCAAAGCATCAATCAAGTTTATTTAAATAAATTGTTTTTTAAGCATCTCTGCAATATTTTGCCTTGCCACCATCAAAGCCGTATTGCACTCAACTGTACACAACAAAATAAGGGATTGTGAACCAGCAGCATGCACAGGGAACCAAAATGAACTAGCCTTCACATGGAGCTTATACCAAAACAGCTTCTCCAGCTACAACAGCAGAGCTTGCTAGCTTAATAAATTTCTATGACAACACAAAACTTGGACATCTCTTTAAGTTACAGATTGTCAATGCAATAAAATTACATCCCAGAGCAAGTCCTGCATAACCAACAGTCTGAAGAGTCTCAAAGGAAACCGTAAGCTGCTCTGAGAAGCAGCACTGTAATTTATCACAGGTGGCATCTAGCTGGAGTCACTGTTTTGAAGCTCTACTTCATCAAAACACAAAGGTCATCAGGCTTTGTACGTAAGAGTCTGAAGATCCTTTTTTCAGGATAAAAATAACTGCTCTACTGTCTTGGCAATACAGCCAAAACCACCAGTCTGTGATTTCTGCCTCATCGAGACTGATCACAGAGGTGATGTGTTAACTCAGGGCACATAAGTTCAAAGCAGGCCCTGCAGTAGTGTGGCTTCTGCAAGAGCAGAACCAGAGCAGCACCAAGGTGAGCTGAGGAAGCTGTGCTGGACAGAACTAGAACTCTTCCCCCTATTCCTCTTTACACAGAGGCTTTCACTCCCTCACACTTAGAACTAAAGCTTATTTAACATCTGCCTACACTTTAAAATGTAAGGAGCAGCAAATACTGTCACAGGCAGTGAAGACTACTCTCCTGTTTTGCAAAGTTTATTAGCTTAAATAAAAACATGGGTAAGAGAAGTCAAATCATCAACCAACTTCCAGGCTTTCAACATGCCACAGAAAACCCTATGTGCTCCTAGAAGCTATTTAAGTTCCTGCTTGCACAGGAAAACTTGAATCCCACGAAAAAGACATTTTCAAGAGGGAATATTAAAAGCATTCTGCAATGACAAGGCAGTTGTGCTCTGAAAGAATTTAAACGCATGCTTAAAAATGCAGCAAGAATTACAGAAAACTTCCATTTCTTTTCTGTACCTCTGACAAGCTGTAATTCATTACCTTTATATACAGGTTTAAAAGCCCACTGACTGTGAAACAGCTTTGTAGGAAGCAGGAGAGGCACAAAAGTTAACAAGATTTCTCAGCAGCACAGTACCTGATTTTTTTTTTTTTTTTTTTTTTATTTTTATAACTCTATTCCTCTCCGGAATACTCCAGAAAGTGTCACTGGGCTTGGAAACTGCACTTTCCAAGATGTTCTTACTGGCAAGGTTTAACATACCAGACCAATCTAAAGCTGCTGAAAAGCAGTTGTTAAAAATGAAGCAGGTAACAAAACAGACTATTGTGCCAGTTGCAGCTATCAAAGCCACCACAAGCAGCTAGTGAGGGGAAAATTCAGTCCCTATGGCAGCACCAGATTTCAGCTGTCAGCCTGAAGAACTCAGGATAAAACTTGGCCATTTATAAAGCAGTAACAGAAATTTCAGAGTTTGTCTTTCAGGACCCTAGGAAGAAACCAGGTATTGTTTCTCAGACTGATACAAACAACACAGTAATCACACCTACTCCACCCAAATACCAAGTTTTTAGGTGTTGGAACCCTTGAGTTAGGCTCAGTCTAAATGGGATTCCCCCAGCTGCCACACAGACACCAATCATTCCACCCCCCCTTATCAGCACTGCTGTTTTCTCCCAAGAAAAGCAGGACTACCATCTCAACATGCTTTAACTGCATGGAAGCAGGACACCAATAGTTCACCACTTTCCAACTGCAACATCTGTCGCCAGTGCACTGGACAACCCAAACTAGAGTCAAAATGGGATTTTCCCTTTCAGAGAAGCAGGGTAAGAGCCTGAGCAGACACCAAGACTCCAGGACACAAAACAATAGCTGAAGGAAGCAGCTTCCCATTTATGTTCTAAATACATAGCTCACACTGTGTGTATCCTGATACACACCAAAACCTGACAGCTCTCAAGCACCAAACAGCATTTCCAAGGTTCAAACAGTGCAACCTTAACTGACAATAGTATATGAAATCAGAGTAATTCAGGGAGCCCTGCCACGAAAGCAAAAATGCACAGGTACCTCTCAGGTCACTCAACATGAGGCCAAAATTCAATTACTACAACACTGATCAACAAGCTATGAATGGTATGCAAAGCAGACTTTATTTTTAGATGCATAGATTCTTAGTGAGAATTAATCTCCCTCCACTGGCCTCAATAATTCAAGCAGCTTCTAGTCCATAGCGCAAACCTGCCATCTTCCCAAGTCCACAAAAGGAAGTCCTCAGACAGAGAGTTCATCACAAAAATGCAGATTTGCTGACAAAATTAGCTACTTTCAACTACAGACACTATGACACATCCATGGAATAAGATAGCAGACATGGGACTCAGAAGCTCTTACAATATTAAGATTTCATATTGCGCAATACAGCTGATTTTTAAGACACAGTAAATACTTACCAAAATCTACACTATTACACAGCCTGAGAGCTTCCTAAGGAAATTCAAAGGCCATCAGCAAAATATCTGGCATCTATTTCAATAGATTCTTTTCAACAGCAGTGTTTTGTTATTAGAACATAAAGATATTTTTAGGCAAGAATACAAAAATCACAAAATAGAGAGGGACAACATGTAACCAGCAGTCAGGTCTGACAAAAAACACTCTTAATAACCTGAAGGACAGCACTAGGAGTAACTAAGCCTTGCTGTTGAAGACAATAAAACTGAATTCTTCCAGAAATTCAGAAACACCCTTAAAAAGAAAGTAATTTCAAAATTACTTCAAGCTGAGTTTTTGATGTTTTGAGTATTTTACAGAGGTAAGTAGCAACTCCCACTGGGTTTCAGGAGGCATGAACACTATGCATACTGCATGTGGAGAATATAAAATCTCAAGTGACAGACACAGCTACACGTTTGCCAAGTAGATTCTAAACTCCTGTCAAAATCATTGTATGAAACGTGCTTCAAGTACTACTGTTAAACCTGTTCTGCCAAACAGGGTCCCTTACCCAGTTCTCAAACGCAGAACAGGACTCATGGAAAAAGCAGCCCCATGTGAGAAGCTCTCCAAGGGGGAAAGGTAAGTGGCCCTACTGTATGAAGATAACTTCATACTACCACAAGTTAGGGTATTATTGCAAAGGAGATATTTCTAACAATACAGCATCTGTTGCTTTTTCTAGCTTTGAAATAAGCAAGGCCATTTTACCAGGCAGTGTGTCCTGAACTGGAGGACAGTCTTGAGAAGCACTCTTTCCATAGGGTCTGCAGGAAATAATACCATAGCTAAGTTAGATTTCAGGATGTTCATCATTCTGAAACCTAGAGAAGGAAAAGCCTTACAATGTAAGTCACATGAACAGTAAAGTAAGCTCCTGAATAATTTGATGGGTTCAAATTTAGGAGTTTACATGTAGAAGCACTACCTGAACATTCCATTTACTGTGAAAATGCACATAACTCCAGGCAACTGGATGCCACAATGACGATTAGACACAGTAACTTTCATTTACAGAGAGCAGCTGAACTGAGCAGATAAGTTTGCTCCCATACACTAAAGACAAACAGTTAAGTTCCATGTTTGGAACCTACCCCAAATAAATCAGGCATGCACCAATGACGACATGGCTGCTTCAGGCATGTTCACATCTTAAGCTACAATTGTCCACACAGAAAAAAAACTTCAAGAAACTCTCACTTTCCACTTTCTGTTCAGTCAAATGCTGCAGGATAAAGTTCCATGGACGGAAGTGAAGAAAATGCAGGGACCTCTTCTCAAAGGATTAGTACTGTTGTCCTATCCAAAACATGATTTAGGAGAGTTAAATGCTATGTCAAAAGCAAAGGAGACTAGCAGTATTTATATAGTAGAGGAGTTGTAAAACAAAAGAGAAGTCTGGCTAAAACAGTGCTGTCCTCAACCACGGTAAAATGGTAAGAATCTCCAGCATAATTAATCAATGACTGATTACAGGGTCACAAAGCTTCAATGTCCACTTTTCCTAAGCTTCCTTTGCACAGCTACCCATTCTAACACCACCAGCAGCCACTTCAGCATCAATTAAAGTGAGTATCTAGGATCACTATACTAGAAATATAAAAAGGAGTATGTATGTCTCTAAAAAGGAGAGACAGGTAGACAGAATCACAGAATCACAAACTTGTCTGGACTGGAAGGGACCTTGAAGCTCATCCAGTTCCAACTCCCTTGCAGCTTGCTATGAGTCTGGAAACACAAAGGCCAATAGCATAAAAACCAGCAAACTTGAAAATCATAAATGCAGAAATACCCAAAGCAATAACAAGTCTAGCAAGGGCAAAAAAAGTCTACTACCAATGTCACCTCACCTGGACTCCTCCTCCCTGTATTTTTAGCTGATGCCAAGGTAGTTACCTTAGGGACAGGAAACACTTAAGTTGTGTGCATTCAGAATGACATGTCAGGTGCCATACCTGTTTTGTTACCTGCTTAAAAAAAAACAGTTCCACTGAGAACAAATGTCACCCTTCCTTCCAACAAGTGGATTCAGAAACAGTCTAAGCTCATGGTGAACTCACAGACTATGCGTTTTATTTCTTCATTTTCTCTCAGTTCTGGTGCAGAAACAGTCCAAACCGTTTGTGGTTTGTTGAAATTAAACTACGACTGCCTAGTTAGAGTATAAAGACAGTAGAATGAGAACACAGTACTATCCCAGATTAGGGAACTATTGCAAAGGAGCTATTTCTAACAATACAACATCTGTTGTTATTTTTAGCTTTGAAATAACCAAGGCCATTTTACTGTGCAGAGTGTCCTGAACTTCAGGACATCCTTGAGAATCACTATTTCCATGGGGTCTGCAGTAAAGTTCGGTCACCCGGTGATTTACTACAGGCAGCTTTTTACAGCTAGTTTTCACTGCGTGACAACAGCGACGATCTCCCAAGAGGCCACCGATTCGTGCTCGGGCAGGGGCAGCACTGACCCCTTCCCGACTCTCCCAGAACTCCATTTTCCACGGTCAACGCCACGAAAGCGAGCGGAGAGCAGAAAACAGCTCCAGAGCTGAGGAGCTCCGTGCCAGTCGGGCCAGATCACGGCGCGGCCTGCACCCACGAACCCGCCAAAGCCGGCGGCGTCCGCCCCGGGCTAAAAGGCACAGCTCCTCTAAGTTCGCTCGGCTGCTCCTCCCGCCGCCCGGACGCAGGCTGAGTGCGGCCGGAAAGCTAAGAGCGGCGCGGGCCCAGCCGCAGGCGCCCCACTCTCATCCGAGCACGGCGGGGCCGACTGCGCTCCTTCTACCGGCCCCGACGCGGCCTACACCGCCACCCCTACGGCCAGCGCGGGACCAAGGCCCCGCTGTCCCAGGAGAGCCTCCTGCCCGCCCGCAGCGCACCCGCGGGCCGAGGCCGCGCTGTGCCTGGCGAGCAGCACTCACCTCAAGGTCCGGAACTAGCAGGGGGCTGCGACCGACCGAGCTTTTACCCTCTCCTCCGCTGCTTCGCTACAAAATGGCGGATAGGGTCGCGCGCTCACGTCGCGGCCTTTCCCCTCCCCCGTCCCCTTCGTGTGCGGGGGGGGGCGGGGGCGAAACAGGGAAACAGTGGGGTGGGCGGGGCTTCCCTCCAAGCTTTCCGCCCCAGCCGGCGACGCGCTCCACCAATCAGAGGACAGCACCGCGAGACACCGGATCAATCCTGACCAATCAACGGGGCGCGACCTCTGAGGGGACGTTCTGCCGCCTACACCCTGAGTTATCCACACCCCTCACGTGGAGGCAGCGCCGTGCCTCCATTGGCCAGAGAGCTCCCCGAGTCTTTGCTCTCTAAGCTAGTCAACGCTTCTCGTTTTACGCATGCGCATAAGCGGCCAATCCGGGCTGGTGAGACGCTGAGGCGGAAGCGGCGGGGAGTGCTAGGGGGGGCGTGGAGCCCGGGGGGGCGGGAAGGGGAGACGGCCCTCGAGTGGCGCGGTCAGCCCCGTATCCCCCTCGCTGCCCTCCCCCACCCCGCCCGGCGGTGTTACGGCCTCAGGCATCGCGCCCCGTCCCGGCGCTGCCTTGGTACGGCCGCAGGCGCTGCAGCCCCAAAACATGGCGACGGAGCCCATCCCCCGGGGCCGACCCGCTCCGTTTGACGCTCTCGCCTCCTGGAGACCGCCAGCTCCTACGGCTGCGGCCACCACCCGACACTTTAGCTCTTTTTGTGCGGCCTCAGCCACCTTCCAGCCCTGGGGAACAATACCGGGACCCTGTGGAGCTCCCCCGGGTACGAGGGTACCCGGCCTCTGACAGAGCATACAGGAAGGACCTCAGCTCTGACAGGGACCCCTTCCCCAGCTGTCATGGGATCAGCAGTGACAGACCCCCAGTCCCACAAAATCCACGCCAAAGCTTAGGAAGCCAGGGTGGAGATTTGGGATGCAGCTTCATCCCAACCTCAGAACAGGCTGAGAAAGTTGAGGCTGTTCAGCCTGGAGAAGTCTGTGTGGAGACCCCAGAGCAGCCTTCCAATATCTGAAGGGGAGCTATAAGGATGTTGGAGAGGGACTCTTCATTAGGGACTGTAGTGATAGACAAGGGATGGTGGGTTCAAACTTAAATGGGAAATTCAGGTTAGATATAAGGCAGAAGTTCTTCCCTGTGAGGGTGCCGAGGCCCTGGCACAGGGTGCCCAGAGAAGCTGTGGCTGCCCCATCCCTGGCAGTGTTCAAGCCCAGGTGGAGCAACCTGGTCTAGTGGAAGGTGTCCCTGCCCATTGCAGGGGGTTGGAACTGGGTGAACTTTAAGCTCCCTTCCAACCCAAAGCAGCCTGGGATTCTGTGATTTGATGGTTTTGAAAACCAGTTACTGCATGAGTGTTGGCAGACACCGTGAGATGCTGAGATGCTCCCATGGCCACAAAGCCCCTGGCTTCCTCGTATGCAAGCACCAAGCACACAGAACTATTTGTAGCCATTGCGCCACCTTAAGTCTTGCAGGAGTTGGGTGTGTCTGAAGGGGAACAGCTGAAATACACCACTGAAATGGTTTTATGACAGGAGACAGACTTTACTGTTCACAAGTCCTGGGGTCTTTCATCAGACAGATGAGGAATGAAAGATCCAGGGCAACACATTGGGATCCTGCTCCAAGTTCCTCAGAGGCTGCAGCTGACTGCCCACTGGAACAAAAGGATTGAAAAGGAGCTTCTCCCAAGGGACAAAGTCCAGCCTGCCATCCCCATGGTCACTGCGGCTCTGGGGCTGCTGCTATCACCAGGAAAAAGCACGGAGCCTGGGCAGGAGCTTCCACCCCATGACCACATGGCAGCAAACCTCTCTGGAGAAGCAGCCATCCAAAGTCCTGGGCTTACAGCACTCACAGTATCACAGTAGGTTAGAGATTGGAAGGGACCTCAAAAGATCATCTAGTCCAATCCCCCTGCCGGAGCAGGAACACCTAGATAAGGTTACACAGGAACGTGTCCAGGCGGGTTTTGAATGTCTCCAGAGAAGGAGACTCCACAACCTCCCTGGGCAGCCTGTTCCAGTGTTCCGTCACCCTCACTGAGAAGAAGTTTCTTCTCAGGTTTAAGTGGAACCTCCTGTGCTCCAATTTGTACCCATTACCCCTTGTCCTTTCATTGTTTGCCACTGAGAAGAGCCTGGCTCCATCCTCGTGACACTCCCCCTTTATATATTTATATACACTAATAAGGTCACCCCTTAATCTCCTCTTCTCCAAACTATAGAGACCCAGCTCCCTCAGTCTTTCCTCATAAGGGAGATGCTCCACTCCCTTCATCATCTTAGTTGCCCTAAGTCACCCTCTTTTAAATCAAAGCTCTTGTTTTAGACCCAGACTGGAGCACCGAAACAAACACAAGGGGTTCCCAACCTCTCCCATCCAGATTTCATCTTCTGCTGTTTGGCAAAAGGATCAGATACTGAAATTTCTCTGTAAAGGCAGCATCAGTGAGAGGGGGACACAACACAACCCAGGAACTCGTACAAGCTAGCTTACAGTATGGAGATGCTCAGCTGAGAGAGTCCAGCTCCATGTACTTGCCTCTTGCTACTTAAAGCATGCTCAGAGCCTCCTGGCAACATGGCAGTGCTATTTACAACAAGGCAAGACACTCTCCCTTTAGCAACAGCTTCCCATGCTACCTTCTTTCTCCTTCCCACGAGGCATTTATGACTTTTATAGGATTTTTTTATCTTTTTTTATAAAACTGACAAAACTAGCAACCACGGGATGGCTGGAACCACCAGCGCCAACTGCTGCATATACAGCAGTGGGGGTGTAACCTGCTACAAACACACAGTTTTTAGCCAGCAACTCAGACTTGGAAGCAGCCTGACTGGAAGCCCAGAGATGCTGATCAGGCAAGAGGAACATGGGAAGTGCGTGAGAGCACGCAAAGTTCTGAGCTGCACTGCAGATCTCTTCTTGGTTAAACATCAAGCTCTTCAGGACTGACATGCACAGTCCCAAGGGCCCCTACCTCAAGGGGAAGGAGAAGTACTTGTTCCCTGACTTGCAGTGTATTTGCTCCCACTGGACACGCAGCAGGAGTGCCGAGTCCTCAAACCCGTCCACGATGTCCTGGAAACCAGATGGAGGAATTAATACCAGGAGGATGGATCTGCCAGAGGACAGAGTCAGCAGCTCCCTCCCTCAACCAAGTCAGAGATGAGGCCATTTGTGGCCAGAAGCCTCTGACTTCCCTCTGGAGGGTGACTTAATTTAATTGCCCCCAAAAGCAATATGAGTTCTTCCAACCCAGTGAAGTTTGTCTTGCTCAGTGAAGAGAACTCCTCTGCTCTTGACTGAACACCAGCTCTGCTCTTCCCCTGTTCTTCATGCTGTGCGGGGCCATACCTGGAGCTCCCGCAGGCACTGCCCTTCCAGCCTGTCCGACAGGTCCCCAACGCACCAGGCCAAGCTGATGTGGAATGATGGGTCCTGAAAGCAAAACAGGGATTGGATTGTGAGGGGTGAAGGAGGCTCTACTCAACGGATGGAGCCATAGTGGGAGAGCTGGTGTGATGCTGTCCTGCCTGGGATCACACAGAGGCTGGGAGCACCCTCTGCCAGCTCAACAGTGTCAGAGCTGATGCACATGAAGTGAATTGAGTCCTACACTCCCCCAGCCCAGCCTTTCTGGACACCAGTGGGCAAGGCTGATTCTCAGCCTCCCTGCAGTCAGCAACTGCACAGAGAATTTCCCATGGTCGGTCTCACAGTGGGTAGATGGGTCACTTCCAAGTAGTACACAAGAGACTCCTGCTCAGCTCTGGAGATAGAGAAATCAGGGTCCGGCCCTTCAAATTTGACAACCTGTCCTCAAAGCTAGTACCAAGCATAGACTGATGCCCCAAGAAATTGCCCAACAAAGAGACACAAGCATCACTGCAGTGCTCACCCCACGCCTGTTTTATCCTAGGACAACCCTGCTTCCATCCACAGCTGAGTGCCTGCTCTGGCCCTTTGCCACAGAGACATGATTCTCAAGAGGCCACTAGACAGTTAACATCCTTACCTGCACAGGGCACGATACAGAAGTCAGAGACTTACAGAATAGAATCACAGAATGGTTAGGGTTGGAAAGGACCTTAAGATCCTCCAGTTCCAACCCCCTGTGCCATGGGCAGGGATGCCTCACACTAGACCATATTGCCCAGGGCTCTGTCCAACCTGGCCTTGAACACTGGTAGGGATGGAGCATTTACCACTTCTTTGGGCAACCCATTCCAGTGCCTCATCACCCTCACTGAACTTCCCCTGTTTAAGTTTGAACCTATCACCTCTTGTCCTATTGCTGCAGTTCCTAATAAAGAATCCCTCTCCACATCTTTGTAGGCCCCCTTTCAGATACTGGAAGGCTGCTCTGAGGTTGCTATGACTTTCACTAGTCCTATTCTCAGCAAGATCATGTGTGAGGTATGAAAAGCCCAGAGGAGACCACTTCAGTGTGTAACCTCCCTGTGCCTCTTTATTTGAGGTGAACATTTTAAGGGCTTCTCAGAGGGAACCAGCTGGCATGTCCAGAGTGGCAGGGAATTACAGGAAGATGCCTCACCTTGTAGAACGTAGGAAGGTCAAATTCCTCCAGAACTCTGTCTACCTCTGAGACCAGCTCCAGCAGCTGGAAATGCCCAGCAGTGACCTCCAAGCCAATAAAGGTCCTAGAAGAAGGCAAAGAGAGACAGCAAACATGCTCTCATGCTGCAGGAAACACAGCTGAAAGCATACCTGGCCCTGTGTTCTGACCAGGCAATTTCCCTACCCCCTGACAAAAGATAATATGAGGAATTCCAGGTTTAAGCGTTCAAGGAAACTGACCATATTCTGAAGAAAAAAAGAAACAGGGATGTAGTGGCAGGGAGAAGCGGGACTGGATGATACACAGTACAGGCTTACTAGACTAATTCAGCACCATTTGGGGCACAAAAACTCACTTTACAGGCACAGAATGCACTCTATGGAAATTCCAGCAGGGCATGGGCCTGGGCAGGAGCTGCTGTTGAAAAGCAGAAGTTGCTGGAGGGGTTTTACAGTGGGAGAGGAAGCAGGCAATGGGACATACCAAGCTGGACAGATGAGATATCTCCTCAAGAAGACTGTCTGGATGATGCTTCTAGACTCCAGGAGGGGAGGGTAAGACTAAGGATCCACTTCTTTATGCCCGTGACTATCGTGGGCTGCCATTCCCACTAGGTTCAGCAACTTCTCACAATTTAAACATCTCTGTTTTGACATTTAAACTACTTAATTGCATTCAGTCAGAATCAGGCTTCTGAGCTAACACCCACGAGAATTAGCACTGTCTGAGCCATTTCGCTCCAGCTCTTGAAAGACCTGCACTACAATTTCACCACCAGCGCTGCTGCCAAAAGATGTGGCCCCAGCTCTGCCCATACCAGGCTGCAGGATCACCCAGTGCTGATGTGACCAAAGGCTGGCAGAGAATCAGCGCTGGAGCTAAATGTTTGTACAAGTGGCTGGGGAACAGGGTGAGACCTCTGGGGATGAGGTGATCCTGTATTGCCCTGTCACACAGCTCAGGCCGGTCACTAGGACAGGCAGGGTCATGCCTCCTATTCACCCAGCACCTTGCTCAGGCTCCTCCCCAGGCAGGCAGGGAGGTTGCACTGCTACTCACTCACCTGGTCTTGTTCTGGTTGGTGTAAACCTTCACTTGGTCAGCTACACAAAAGAACCTGAAATAAGGAAGAACCTATTTCAGCTGGTAGAAGGAAAGAAAAAAAAAAGTGGGAAAAAAAAAAAGGGAAGGAAAAGAAAAGGGGGGTGGGGTGGGGTGGAGGAGATGGGAAAAAAAGAGAGAAAATAAGAGAAAAAAGAAAGGGGAGAAGAGAGTGGGATAAAAAGAGAGGAGAGGGAGAAAAGGAGAGGGAAAAAGTGGGGAAAATTGGAAAAAAAAAAGACAAGGAAAAAAGAGGGAAAAAGTGAGAAAGTAAAACAAAAAAGTTAAAAAGTGTGAAATAAAAGGGGGGGGGGAAGACATAAGGAAAAAAGGGGGGAGGGAAAAAGTGGGGAGAAGAAATGAGAGAAAAAAGGGTGAAAAGAAAAAAGGAAAAAGAGAAAAAAAAAGAGGGGAAAAAGAAAAGGGGGGGGGAGAGGAAAAAACAAAAGTGGGAAAATAAGAAAAATGAAAGGGTGGGGGGGAAGAGAGGGAAGAGAAGACAGAGAAAAAATGCTGTGGAGGGGACACGATTTCTACCGAGCATTGGAAAGATAAAGGTGAATGTGTGCCCCACTGGCACCGAACAGGTGAGGCCAGAACCTTCCTGGGGTCGGACTCACTCCCTCGGTTTGCAGCTTTCCGGAGTCACCGGAGTGAGCAGTGGGGCAGCGCACGGCACAGCACCGCCGCCGCCTGGAGAGGGCAGGCGTGGTTCTGCTGCCCGATCCCGCTGAGAGCTCCGCAGGGATCAGCACCAGAGAAGCCTACGGGTGCGCTGCACCCAGAGGCCTGGGCGGGAGGGAGCGGCCCCGCAGGGCTCGTACCTGTGGAAGGCAGCCAGGCGCGCCCTGAGGCCGCTCACGAAGGGCTGTATCCAGTGGTAGCGCAGCACCACGCACTGCGAGAGGCTGAGGTGGAACTCCTCCATCGCCGACAGCGACGGGACGTGGCTGCGGGCGCGGTACATCAGCAGCTCCAGCAGCTCCAGGAACTCCTCCCGCACCCTGTCTGCGGGCAGCGCTCTCACACACGGGCTGTCCCCGTGCCCACCACCACCCCTCCCCGGGGCTCCCGTCCTCGACAGACACCGGCTGCCCCGGGGGCTCGCGGGGCCGCCATCACCTACAGGGCAGGTAGACATGGGTGGCCCAGTTGCCCCGCTCGTGCGGGAAGCTGCGGACGCGGCCGCCGTGACGGGAACTGTCATCGGTAACGGCCTCCTCCGGCTCCAGATCGCCAGGCAGGTCAGCGGGCAGCGGCAGGCGGTGCCGCACAGCGCTGTAGGACGAGAGGGATGAAGGCCGCGCGTCCTCACCCGGCCCCGCTGACTCCCACAGCCCTGGGCCCTTTCCGTTGCACTCACCCGGCCCTAGAAGGCCCCTGTTCGTCGCCCCCGCTGTGCCTCCCTTCCTCTTCCTCCTCCGAGCTGCTGTACTCTACCAGCGCCGCCCTCATGGCTCTGCCGGGCCTTTCCGGGCCGCTGCTGCCGGTGACCCCCTCTCCCGGTACCGGTGCGGGGGCGCTGTTTTCGCAGCGGCCCAGCAGGGGGCAGCCTCCGCGGCTCGCCCCGCCTCCTCCGCCGCCGCCGCCGCCGCCGCCGAGGCCGGTCCGGCCCGCTGGGATCGCGCCCTGCCTCCCTTCGCGGCCGCCGCCCGCCCGCCTCCAGCACCGGCGCCCCCTTCCCTCCTTCCGTCCGTCCCTCCCTCCCGGCTCTCGTCGACACGCCGGCGTGGGTCTTGGGCGGAGCGTGCAGGCCGCGGCCCCGCCGGTGGCGAGCGGGCTGCCAGGAGCCTCCCTCCCGTCGGAGGTTGGGGGCTTGGCCGCCGTCGCCGCCGCCCTTTGTGTGGGCCTCGCCGGGGCGGGCAAGAACCCCCTACCCCGGCCCAGCGTGGGGCTTCTAGCAGTGCAGCGGCGGGGCAGGCCGCAGGGCACCGTAAGCGCGCCGGTGCGCACGCCGGCGGGGCAGCGGGAGCCGTCCCATGGGGAGAGGCGAGCTGCGGGACGGGCCTGGCCGCGGGCTGCAGCGGCCGCTGGCCTCCGAGCTCCACAACCGCCCCCGCGGCCCCCGGGCCCGCCGCGCCGCTCCCTGAGGCGGCCTCGGCCTTGTCCCGCTGGTGGGAGGCGGGAGCGGGCAGCACCATGCCGGAGCAGGCCGTGCCGCGAGCTGCTGCTCCAGTTTGAAAGTACCTCTGCGCTCCCGTCTGCTCTCCTGGAATGGTTGTCGCTTCCCACCACCCACGGAGGGATGAGTTAGGCTCGGAGCTGGAGCCGGCTCGGGTACCCGTGCAGAACCCTCGGTAAGCCAAGGTTGGTATTCCTCGTTCTCCCCCTCCTCCATGCGTCTGGGATGCTCCTGCCGTGGTTAACGCTGCCCGAGGGGGAGGGCGGCAGCCGGGCTGAAGCTCTGTATCCATCCCATCGAGCTCCGTGCTGGGGATTGCTGCTGCCAGCCCATGTCTGCAGGCAAGGTGAGCTATGTAGGAGAAAGAGCACATCTTGGCGTTATGGCAGGGTGAGGGGACCTTTGAGGGTTTTACTATCCAAAATTGTGCTGGCAGTCAAATACTATTTTGCAAGTCCCTGTAGGCAGAAGCTCCCCAAGTTGTAGGTAACCATCCAGTCTCGGTTGAGCGCTGGAGAGTGGGGTTGTGGGTTTCTTTGGTCCTCGTTATCGCTTGGTTTTAAACACAACAAACACCTTCCTAGAAGACCCAGGTTTTACTTAACCCTGGGTAGGGGCATGTGGGTTGGCTCCGTCCTGTCTGTGTTCTGATGGGAGTTAGGAACTCATGGCTCAGGCTGCTTCTTGCCAAAGCCTGGCCCCTTTCTCTGTCTTGAGATGTGTTGCCTGTGCTGCTCACGGGTGGGTTTTACTCTTAAGTTTATACCAGGTTTTTCTGAACATCTCTAGAAAGACGGGACCTTTTTAGTGAGCTGTGATATTCTGCAGTAAGCCGAGGCAGCAGCTCTGGTGTGGGATGTTCAGCTCCAGTGTACTTCTGTTCCATGTTTTGGTAGGAGGTTCAGCTGAGTTACTGCTTTAACAGTTCCTTTATCTTCACAGCAGGTGCTGTGCATGATACCTGTGGGTTCCGTGTTTTGTGGATAGGATAATTCCTGGTTCCGGCTCTTCCTAGTCCACAAGGACTACCCAGAAAGAGCAGAGGAAATCTCTTACATACATCCCTTGGGTAATGTGCCTGATACCCAAGGAGCAGGAGGAGCAGAACTGCCTCACAGGGGTGTTTCAGTTTGGGTGGGGTCCGCTTGGGATCTGCCTCGATGTCTGTAAAATCTGATATGGTAGCTTCTTGATTGTACAGCATTTGGTGTACCTCGGCCTGGACAGAGACTGGTGTCTCAGCCCATGCCCCCAGTGGGGCCAGGAGATCCAGTGGCTGACAGTAGCTGGGGTAGTAGCTTTGCTGACTTGGACCTGGGCAGCTGTGCTGCCTCTCTTGAGAGCACATGTCTCAAACACATGGCTGGCTGCATGTAGGCAGAGCCTGACCCTCCCCAGGTCCAGTCATCCTTAGCCCAGAGGTATGGGGGGGCTCTGGTTCTTGTCAGCTCCTCCAAATTGGCCTTCTGGCAGCTTTGCAGGGACACAGGAGAGTTTTCAAAGCGAACTGTGGGAGGAGGTTGACTGAAGAGTTGCCCATCTTTCTTCTAAGACCTTACACCAGCTGTCCTCTTCCTTGCAGAGAGAGCTGTTCCCTGGGCTGCTTCCCTCACCCTTCCCAAATGTGAGCTCATCACAGCCAGCACGGAGAAGGACCTCCTCTTGTCTTGCTTCTGCCTCCTGTTCTTTTGGCAGAAAAAGCCAAACCGGATCAGTCCACAAAGAACTTGAGCTGATCTGAGGAGGAGGCTCTGGAGTCTCAATCACTTGTTTGCTTCCCAGGATCCTGGCTGTCGGCTGGATTTTCTGCCCTTGACTTCAGCAGATCAGCTACGGGGAATCAGGATCTTGGGTACTTTCAATTCTTGTTTTCACTTGAACCTTCTCCACCAAGAAGCTGAAGCTATCCCTGCTGAAATCCCGCGTTTTTCCCCAAGCATGTCAGAAAGCTGGCAGCAGCAACAGCAGCAACCACCACAACCACCGCAGCAGCACCACGCTGGGGCAGCCGCTCTCACAGAGCACTCCATCCCGCCCAGCACTGACAGCTCCTTGGGCTGCGCTGTCTACGGCATACTGCTCCAGCCAGACCCCGGTCTGCAGCACCCCCAGCACGCCTCTCTCCAGGTTGGAGACCTGTCCCACAAATGTGGGGTGTGTGGCCATGACCTCACTCACCTCTCCAATCCCCATGAGCACCAGTGCTTGCCAGGCCATGATCGCTCTTTCCAGTGTACCCAGTGCCTGAAGGTCTTCCACCAGGCCACTGACCTTCTTGAGCACCAGTGCATCCAGGTGGAGCAGAAGCCCTTTGTGTGTGGTGTCTGCAAGATGGGCTTCTCCCTCCTGACTTCACTGGCGCAGCACCACAATGTCCACAACAGCAATGCCATGAAGTGCTCTATCTGTGAGAAAACCTACAAGCCCCCTGAGGCAGAGCATCTGCAACCTCTTGACACCTCGGAGAAGCCCTACAGCTGCTCCATCTGTCAGAAAACCTTCAAGCACCTCTCGGAGCTGTCCCGGCATGAGCGCATCCACACGGGGGAGAAGCCCTACAAGTGCACGCTGTGCGACAAGAGCTTCAGCCAGTCGTCCCACCTGGTGCACCACAAGCGGACGCACAGCTCAGAGCGGCCCTACAAGTGCACGGTGTGCGAGAAGACCTTCAAGCACCGCTCCCACCTGGTGCGCCACATGTACGCGCACTCCGGGGAGCACCTCTTCAAGTGCAACGTCTGCGAGCTGCACTTCAAGGAGTCGTCAGAGCTGCTGCAGCACCCCTGCACACCCAGCGGGGAGCGACCCTTCCGCTGCGGTGAGTGCCAGAAGGCTTTCAAGCGCCCGTCTGACCTGCGGCAGCATGAGCGCACGCACAGCGAGGAGCGGCCCTTCAAGTGTGACCTGTGCCAGATGAGCTTCAAGCAGCAGTACGCGCTCATGCGGCACCGCCGCACGCACAAGGCTGAGGAGCCCTTCAAGTGCAACCTGTGTGAGAAGGGCTTTGTGCAGCCCTCTCACTTGGTGTACCACCAACATGTGCACGGCATAGAAAACCTCTTCAAGTGCAACGTGTGCCAGAAGGGCTTCAACCAGTCCTCGGAGCTGCTGCGGCACAAGTGTGTGCAGAACGCAGAGCGTCCATTCAAGTGTGGCATATGCAACAAGTCCTACAAGCGGGCCTCGGCCCTGCAGAAGCACCAGCTGGCCCACTGCTCCGAGAAGCCCCTCAAGTGCACGCTCTGTGAGAGACGTTTCTTCTCCTCCTCCGAGTTCGTGCAGCACCGCTGCGACCCGGCCCGCGAGAAACCCCTCAAGTGCCCTGACTGTGACAAGCGGTTCAAGTACGCCTCGGACCTGCAGCGCCACCGGCGCGTGCACACCGGTGAGAAGCCCTACAAGTGCCCCTCCTGCGAGAAGGCCTTCAAGCAGCGCGAGCACCTCAACAAGCACCACAGTGTGCATGCCCGGGAGCAGCAGTACAAGTGCATGTGGTGCGGGGAGCGGTTCCTGGACTTGGGCCTGCTGCAGGAGCACAGCGTCCAGCACACGACCGAGGGCGCCTACCAGGTGGCCGCCTGCTTGTCGTGAGCCTCCTGCCCCTTGGTGGCTTGCAGCTTGCATGTGATGCTCTGGAGCCTCAGCCTCCCCCTTCCCTCTTCTTGGTTGTGAACAGAGTTTGGAGGTAGAGGGGTAGGGAGGTCATGCAGGTAAACTTTCCTCTGGCCTCTGTGGTTGCTACACCACACGTTTTACAGGGGCGATGGACGATGTGAAAAGCTCGAAGGGGTGGAGAGGAAAGGAGGGAGGTGCGGAGATGGAGCAATGCCTGTAGTTGCCTAGTTCATGCTGTACCTGCAGTTCCAGTGCTGGGAGCTCAGCTGTGGGCACCAGCCTTTCGCATGCGGCCTTTTTTCAGTGCTCTGCCTGACGGTGTTGGTGCAGAGGGCTGGGGGACTCCTCCCGAGAGGGCTTAGGAAAAGGGCAGAGAGAGCTCAGTGAGGCAGTAGCAGGTTTCTGCTTCTGGGATCTTCCACATTTCTTGGTCCAGGCTCAGTTGCAAGGACTGCTTCAGTTTGTTAGTGTTGACTGCCTTGACCTCCCCTGCTCTCCCTCTTTCTAGAGTGTAGAAAGGGAAAAGCCATGGGGCCGCACAGCTCCAAAAAGCACTTTGGCATTGCTGCTTTTGCAGTCGTTGGTTGTCAAACCCTGCAAGGGTCCTGGGCGAGCCTGCCCATCCCTGCCAGCAGCATGGGGAGGAGTAGCAAGCGCTGTGCTGCTACCAGCAAATGTGGCAAGGAGTGTCTCCCTGCCCTGCTCATGACTGAGAGCCTGCTTCCTGAGGGACCCAGCTCTCCTGCCAAAACTCC